TTAAGATCGAAAAAAAAAGCAGTTCTGTATCATGCAGACATTTCCAAACGATATTTCTCTGTTTGCCATTTGAAAATAGTGTTTTACTTTTTGCATGAACTGAAGCAAAGGTCAAGGAGTAGTGACGTCACTGGACGGCATTAACGGCCGGTCGATTCAGACGTTACTGAGGGAGTAATAACGACTCGAAGTAATCGGATGAAATTCAGGCTAGGTTGCAACCGCATCGGAGTTGTCATAGCAACGAAATGACGCTATTACCTATTTTACTTGCAGCAGTATATCTCGGCACTGGGACCTGTATTCGAAAATCATTCACGGGAGCTTTTTCCTCCAATAGCAGCCTCGATGTTCGTGAAGTTTACGCGAAATCTGTAAGAGCGTTATCGAGATATTTTGCGATAAAGATTTTGTGGTTAGAAATACTGTAAAAAATGGACAATCCTGGTGTTCGGCTGTTATCTGTAGAAAACGAAGCGCTTTTGACATGCAATTTCACTCCTTAGTAGTTTCAATCTTTTTGAAAACGTGTGTGAAAGATCAAGGAGATAGCTCCAGCCGATTGCTAGAAAGAAGGGTTTGATTAGTATGTATCGAGGCGCTCTTGTTAGCGGTTTTTTGAACATTTTGGTCTACTTTAACAAATTAGCGAATAATTTTTAAACCGCTCGATAGAATTTTTAAAAAATTTAGATTCCTGAGATTAACCTTCCTTTTATATGACTTTTTAGTTTCAAGATTGTTGATGTATTGTAAGGCAGTAAAATAAGGGCTACAATTCGCCAATATTTTGGCAGAAATTTTGTGTTTACAAGTGTGAGCCTCTCATTATTCAGGGTATTGTGTCCAAGTTTCATATTTTCGTGCACAACAATACCTAGCATTTTTGCATATTTCAAATACATTGTTAGTTACTGCTGTTCACGTGAAAATGAAACTTGGAGACAATGCCTTGAATAATTAGAGGCTTTCACTTGTAATGACGAAACTTCCGATAAAAAAGTAACGAACTGTAGCGCCTATTTTACTGCCTTACAATATATCAATAATCTTGAAACTAAAAGGTCATATAAAAGGATGGTTACATCTCAAGAATCTTAATTTTATAAAAAAATCTATCGAGCGGTTTAAAAATTATCCGCTAATTTGGAAAAGAAGACCAAAATGTTTACAAAACCACTAACAAGAGCGCTTCGATACATACTAATCAAACCCTTCTTTCTAGCAATACGCTGGAACTATCTCCCATGATCTTTCACACACGCTTTTAAAAAGATTGAAACTACTATGAGGTGAAATTGCATGTCAAAAGCGCTTCATTTTCTACAGATAACGGCCAAACAACAATATTGTCCATTTTTTACTGTGTTTCTAACAATAAAAACTTTATCCCAAAATATCTCGATAACGCTCTTACAGATTTCGCTTAAACTTCACGAACATCGAGGCTGCTATTGGAGGAAAAAGCTCCCGTGAATGATGTTAGAAGAACAGTTCCTAGTGCTGAGATATACTGCTGCAAGTAAAATAGAAAATAGCGTCATTTTGTTGCGATGACAACTTCGATGCCGTTGCAACCCTGATCATAACAAATTTTCATCTTTATCCAAAACAACTGTGGTNACAACAATATTGTCCATTTTTTACTGTGTTTCTAACAATAAAAACTTTATCCCAAAATATCTCGATAACGCTCTTACAGATTTCGCTTAAACTTCACGAACATCGAGGCTGCTATTGGAGGAAAAAGCTCCCGTGAATGATGTTAGAAGAACAGTTCCTAGTGCTGAGATATACTGCTGCAAGTAAAATAGAAAATAGCGTCATTTTGTTGCGATGACAACTTCGATGCCGTTGCAACCCTGATCATAACAAATTTTCATCTTTATCCAAAACAACTGTGGTGGCACTTTTTCCAAAACTTTGTTTATTGCGACGTAGTTTATGCTCAAACTTGGGAGGTATTGACCCTGAAAAACTGTATCGAGCCACCTTAAAGATGCTCCTTTGTGATTTCTGTACAATTATGTATAATGAACATTGAACAGTTTTTTTTTTTTTTTGAGGGAGAGTCTATTCACTGAGTTATTTTTTTTCGCTATTTGACCATTCTTCATGATCCACGGGGGGGAGTGTCCGCGATGACAGTGCTAGGCCTTCTTGGAGAGATCCAAAAAAGTGTTGCGTTTTCTTCCTAGAAAAACGTATGAGTGCGAACCTCGTGAGCCTGTCGGAATCTGGAAAATTTTTGTGAAACTTAGAGAAAACCTGTTCTTGTAACCTAAGAAACGAGCCTTTGAGTACAGTTAAATACATTTCAGTACAAATTCGTCTACAGGACCATTAAAAGTTCCGTGAGTCTAATTTGTTTCTTCACTTTCACCTAGCAGCAAAAGCTGTCAAAAAAGATACAAAGGAAACCTTGAAAAACTCGTACCAGTGAAGTAAAAGTACCGGTAGCATTCCTACGCCGTTTCTTCTTGTCAACATTCCTACGGCGTTCGAATCCACCTTCTCGGTCGAATAGCCCCATAACATCGTATACTACAATCCTGAGCAAAAGTCCTTGGGACAGTACTGCAGTATTTTTCTGTCATTTATCGGTTCCCTTTTAAAACAGTGCATCCTTTTCGAAATTTTCTTGCAGTTCTCCCTCCCCCACCTTATAAAAAGTTGAAACTCAGAAAAAATTTTGGATACCCTCGTCCAACATTGTTTGTGGGGTGAGGGGAGGGGTTGGTCTTGTGTGAATTGGGAAACGCCCCAGAAAGGCAAAAGTGTCCCAAGACTTTTGTCCATGATTGTCTGAAAAAGAGGTGCGAAGAAAAAAGGCAGTTTTAAGGGTTTTTCGAGCCTGTAAGAGTGTTTTTTCCGGATTCTGATGAAAGATCGTAACTGAACCTTTTCCCAGCTTTTTGGACTTTTCTGAACCTGTTTTAAGAATTCGCTCGAAACGAATGATATACACCCGAAATTGTGGAATCTCATAGCACGTGCTTTATTCCAAAGGATAACATAACTTCAAACAAGACTCATGTCCGAAAACGGTTAAGGAAAGCAACGAGTTACTAACATAATGGTGTACTCAGTAAGAATTTCGGCAGGCCAAAGAGCTAGAGTCGTGGATATACGACAAAGCAAGAGGTCATTTACCTGGTAATAACTTGCTCAGAGATGTCAACATTACAGTCGCCAGTACTCAATATACGAGTACGAATGTCAAAATTTCCAGTATGCTTGGTAGAGAAAATAACAACGTTTTCCAAAAGATAGATCGGCCGTGAAAAATATTAAGCGATGTGAATAGCCGTCCCTGTCATTTGTACAACACAAAATACCACAGGTGCTATAATTGCAACTGTGAGGTAAGAAAAAAGCGGTTGTTTCACATGAATACGCCTGGTCCGTGGCAAAACAGTTTTTCGCTGAGAGAATTGTACTGGATCATTTTTTGTTTGAAAGTGTTGCTAATATTTCTATGTGCTTATTTGCTAACAAAAATTACGCTGCGTGATATTTGTCACGAACTAAGTAAACAACCAAGTGAGTTTACTTTGAACTGATTTGCATAGCTGGACAGTACGCACCAACAGTACTCACTCTAAAACCTTAATAATGTGTGCTTTTTCTAAAGAATCTTAACATGTTAGGGATGGTGAGAGAAAATGTATCTGTAGAAACGTCCTTTGACGCTTTTACAGCGAAAACGCATGTTTTAGCCCTTTAGTCACAGTACTCACTTTGAAATGGAGAGAAAGGGGAACAAGATAATTTTTCCTTACTGGATCAAGTGAGTACTGTTGTATTCACTTAACGGGATGGCTTTTTTGACGCATATTATTTCAAATGCAATTACTGTTTGGTTGAAATATACCTTAGCCGTGTTTTCTTAATGAATTTGAAGCGAATATTGATAATACGCTGTGTTTTTGCGACCGAGTACTGTGCGCGATGCTCAAAACATCGTGCCTGACCAACTTCCGCTGTACTCGGCTCCAGTTGAGTTAAGGGGAGTGGGCCCGATATGGCTAATCAGGTAATTGCCTTGTAAAAATTTGCTATGTTAAGGAAGTACTTTCAAAGGTCATTATTATGGCATGCGATCACCTACTTGTCTTCAAAATGCCTAAAAAGCGTAAGAAAAATGAAGAAAACAGACTTTTTTCCCCAAAATCAGGATTCAGACGTGTAGGTCGAGTGGTACAGCTAGATTGTGCCGTTCTCTGAGATTTTGTGCACCGTGCGATAACCCAGCAACTGCCCTGGGCCTTCACCTTCTTCGCGTACCGTCTTTTTTACCTCTTTAATATCAGTCGCGTATCTGATGTAATGAATTCCTAAACTCCAGATCCGACATACTCTGAAAAATCGCGACAAACGAAGTTCAAAATCTCTCTTCGCCTATGATTTTGTAAAACATAACGCTGTAAATCTGACTTCAGTTGTTCATCGTCCTCCCTAGACTTTCAACAACGTCCTTCGTATTTTCAAGGTATAAACTTCATGTTAGCCTGGGACCAGGCTCCGCATTCAGGGAAATAGGAGAAAAAAATCGGCGAGCGAAGCGGGCCGAGAAGTAGTCTGGGGAGGGGAAAGACCTTCCCCCTCCCCAGGCCACCACTAGGGCTCGCTTCGCTCACCGATATTTTTCCTGTTTGACCCTGTTTTTTGCCTTTTTCCCCCACTGCGGAGACTGGTCCCAGGAACAGGCGTCTTTTTTTTGCATGAGCTGGTAGGTACGTCATGTATGGGGACATATATTGTACCGCTTTTACCTAATTAACTTATAACTTCACTCTTTCTGCTTCGTTCCTTGTTGCCTTGAAGCTTTGTTCTCTGTTAACTTGTTGCTCTGTTCCCTTGTTTCCTAGTTACTCTGTTACCTTGTAACCTTGTTACTCTGTTGCCTTGTTACCTTGTTACTCTGTCACCTTGTTACCTTGTTATTCTGTTACCTTGTTACCATGTTACCTTGTTCCCTTGTTACTCTGTTACCTTGTTACCTTGTTACCTTGTTACTCTGTTACTCTGTTACTCTGTTACCTTGTTACTCTGTTACCTTGTTACCTTGTTACCTTGTTACTCTGTTACCTTGTTACCTTGTTACCTTGTTACTCTGTTACCTTGTTACTCTGTTACCTTGTTACTCTGTTACCTTGTTACCTTGTTACCTTGTTACTCTGTTACCTTGTTACTCTGTTACCCTGTTACCTTGTTACCTTGTTACTCTGTTACCTTGTTACCTTGTTACTCTGTTACCTTGTTACCTTGTTACTCTGTTACCTTGTTACCTTGTTACTCTGTTACCTTGTTACCTTGTTACTCTGTTACCTTGTTACCTTGTTACTCTGTTACCTTGTTACCTTGTTACTCTGTTACCTTGTTACCTTGTTACTCTGTTACCTTGTTACCTTGTTACTCTGTTACCTTGTTACCTTGTTACTCTGTTACCTTGTTACCTTGTTACTCTGTTACCTTGTTACCTTGTTACTCTGTTACCTTGTTACCTTGTTACTCTGTTACCTTGTTACCTTGTTACTCTGTTACCTTGTTACCTTGTTACTCTGTTACCTTGTTACCTTGTTACTCTGTTACCTTGTTACCTTGTTACTCTGTTACCTTGTTACCTTGTTACTCTGTTACCTTGTTACCTTGTTACTCTGTTACCTTGTTACCTTGTTACTCTGTTACCTTGTTACCTTGTTACTCTGTTACCTTGTTACCTTGTTACTCTGTTACCTTGTTACCTTGTTACTCTGTTACCTTGTTACCTTGTTACTCTGTTACCTTGTTACCTTGTTACTCTGTTACCTTGTTACCTTGTTACTCTGTTACCTTGTTACCTTGTTACTCTGTTACCTTGTTACCTTGTTACTCTGTTACCTTGTTACCTTGTTACTCTGTTACCTTGTTACCTTGTTACTCTGTTACCTTGTTACCTTGTTACTCTGTTACCTTGTTACCTTGTTACTCTGTTACCTTGTTACCTTGTTACTCTGTTACCTTGTTACCTTGTTACTCTGTTACCTTGTTACCTTGTTACTCTGTTACCTTGTTACCTTGTTACTCTGTTACCTTGTTACCTTGTTACTCTGTTACCTTGTTACCTTGTTACTCTGTTACCTTGTTACCTTGTTACTCTGTTACCTTGTTACCTTGTTACTCTGTTACCTTGTTACCTTGTTACTCTGTTACCTTGTTACCTTGTTACTCTGTTACCTTGTTACCTTGTTACTCTGTTACCTTGTTACCTTGTTACTCTGTTACCTTGTTACCTTGTTACTCTGTTACCTTGTTACCTTGTTACTCTGTTACCTTGTTACCTTGTTACTCTGTTACCTTGTTACCTTGTTACTCTGTTACCTTGTTACCTTGTTACTCTGTTACCTTGTTACCTTGTTACTCTGTTACCTTGTTACCTTGTTACTCTGTTACCTTGTTACCTTGTTACTCTGTTACCTTGTTACCTTGTTACTCTGTTACCTTGTTACCTTGTTACTCTGTTACCTTGTTACCTTGTTACTCTGTTACTCTGTTACCTTGTTGCCTTGTTACTCTGTTACTTTGTTACCTTGTTACTCTGTTACCTTGTTACCTTGTTACTCTGTTACCTTGTTACCTTGTTACTCTGTTACCTTGTTACCTTGTTACTCTGTTACCTTGTTACCTTGTTACACTGTTACCTTGTTACTCTGTTACTCTGTTACCTTGTTACGTTGTTACTCTGTTACATATTTGCCCTGTTACCTTGTTACTCTGTTACCTTGTTACCGTGTTACTCTGTTACCTTGTTACCTCGTTACTTTGTTAATCTATTAGTCTGTTGCCTTGTTACTCTGTTCCCTTGTTACCTTCTTACCTTATTACCCTGTTACCTTGTTACTATGTTACCGTGTTACCCTGTTCCTCTGTTGCCTTGTTACCTTGCTACTCTGTTACCTTGTTACCGTTTTACTCTGTTACCTTGTTCCACTGTTACTTTGTTAATCTGTTAGTCTGTTACCTTGTTACCCTGTTTCCTTGTTACCTTCGTTTTACCTCGTTTGTCTGTTACCTTGTTGCTTTGTTACCTTGTTACTCTGTTACCTATTACCTCAAGATATCTAGGAATTTGTGTAGACGTAATACGTCACATGCACCCTTGTCAGAGTTAAAGCGCCCTTGCTATTGAGATGCCTAGGACGCCGGGATCAGTCACTACCAGATTGTGGTAATGTTTAACTTCCCCCGCGGCCTTGTTTGACGGTTTGTATGGTATGGCGTGGCAGTGGGTAAAGAACTGTAAAAGAAAAAAAAATGCGATATATATGTCCAGGAACGATCTTGTTAGCAAATTCTCTCCGCAATTTTTGCAAAGAAAATAATTCACCGAAAATTTTGTGAGACAATCACTTACAAATATCGCGTGAGTAGAAAAACCAATAAAACAAACTTCTTGACTTAGAAAAAAATCGCAAAAGTAACAAGGATTTTTCCTGCTTCCTAAAAACACTGAAAAGGTAAGAAATATCGCAAAAATAGCAAGAATGACAAATTTAAAAAATTCTAGACTTACAAAGAAAAATTGTTAAGAAGGGCCTTCAAAAGCCCTCAAATCTCGCAAAAATCGCAAAACTAACAAGGATTTTTCTTCCTATGTGAAGAGATTGAGTACTTGAAATATCGCAAAAGCAAGAATAAAAAAATTAAATAAATTCTAGACTTAGAGAGAGAAAAGGCCAAGAAGGTGAATTCTTTTCACAAATTCTTTTTTTTTTGATTTATGGGAAAATTTGAGGCCTTCTCGTGGCCCTTCATTGTCTTAATCTTTTCGCATAGCAAGAAAAATTCTTGTTAATTTTGCGATCTTGGCGAAATTTGCGGACTTCTCGAAGTCCGTCTAGGCCTTTCTTCTTTCTAAGTCTAGAATTTTGTTAAATTTGTTATTTTTGCAATTTTTGCCATATTTGTTACTCAATCTTTTCACACACCAAGCAATTTTGTTTAAATCTTTTTAGTTAAAATTGCGAGAAGAATTTGCTAGCAAGATGGGCGGGACTATTACTAGATCAGTGGTAGAAGTTGTGTAGATACGTCAAAGAATACCGTGATAGACTTGATAGGTAGTCGCAGGCAGTGAAGTTGGAACAGCGAAGGTGTATCGCCATCAAAATCTATTTGTGTCGGTGACCTATACTAGCGACAGCAGCGTTTTTATTACTTGCGAATTAAGGAAACTATATAATAGGCTATCGCAATACGCTACTCTGCTTGTTATAAAAGTACGAACTAACAATTCATGCAGCTGCTGGACAACCAGTTTAATACTTTCTAATGATCTACGGATGATAATGATGACAATGATAAAAGGCCGACGAACAAGGGTTTAAATTGACATAGCCTATCATGTTCAAGTTCATAAGTTCTTCTTCCATGTTTTGTAAAGTCTTGACTTAGTACTTAGTGACAAGAAATATAAATTAAGAAACTAACAACGTTATTAGAGTAACAATTTCATGATTTAATGGACAGAACACAAAAGAAAAAGTATACAAGGGTAAATCTCCAGTAAGTGTAGAAATAACCCTTGCTAAGAATCAAAGGTGATTATATGCCCTGTAACGTTGTTAGTTTCTTAATTTATATTAACACGGTAACATAGTAACAAGGTAACAGGATAATAAGGTAACAAGGTAACAAGGGAACAGAGTAACAAGGTAACAGACTAATAGATTAACAAAGTAACGAGGTAACAAGGTAACAGAGTAACACGGTAACAAGGTAACAGAGTAACAAGGTAACAGAGTAACAAGGTAACAAGGTAACAGAGTAACAGAGTAACAAGGTAACAAGGTAACAAGGTAACAGAGTAACAAGGTAACAAGGTAACAGAGTAACAAGGTAACAAGGTAACAAGGTAACAAGGTAACAAGGTAACAAGGTAACAGAGTAACAAGGTAACAAGGTAACAGAGTAACAAGGTAACAAGGAAACAGAGTAAATAGGAAACAAGGAAACAAAGAGAACAAAGCTTCAAGGCAACAAGGAACCAAGCAGAAAGAGTGAAGTTATAAGTTAATTAGGTAAAAGCGGTACAATATATGTCCCCATACATGAAGTACCTACCCATGAGCTTGCGCGACCGCTGAACAAGCGACGTGCCAGGAGGCTCACCGCAGCGTCTGCCTTCATCAAATGTCGCGTCTCAAAGCTATCATCGCATTTATTTTCTTCGTTGGTCTTGGCGAATGTACTCGTGTTTTAACAAGATGTGTTGTGTCCAAAAAAACTCTAACATGGTCTTAACAAAAGCGAAGTAGACCAGCTTTAACGTACCACGAGCTACTTTCAAATTTCATCTCCCAACTTGACCTGGACGACAGCGCCCGTATAGTGCTTGTAGGATTAAACTGACGTCAGTTAAAGTCTGAACAAAGAGCGGAAACGTTTGTTGATGTAAGTAAACATTTTCAATTTTCGTTGTTTTGAAATGGGAAAGGAACACAAATGCACGCTCATGACATTGAAGAGCTGAGATGTATTAATGCATGTCTCTTTGTGTTACACCGAGTTGCCTGTAGCTGTCAGCAGTGCTTTCACGTTCTTCTCCATACAGTTTAACACGGATAGCCAATGCACGCTGATGGAAGAGCTGATGTGTAGTCATGCATGTTGGCTTGTATAACACGGATTCCCCAGAAGCTGTCAGCTGTGCATTCTTGGTTTTCTCCAAACAGTTTAATACGGATAGCCAATTCACGCTGATGAGATTGAAGAGCTGAGGCATAGTCGTGCATGCTGGCCTGTGTCACACCGAGTTTCCTGTAGCTGTCAGCAGTGCTTTCATGTTCTTCTCCAAACAGCTTAATACAGATAGCTAAAGCATGCTGATAGGATTGAAGAGCTGAGGTATAGTCGTGCATGTTGTTTTGTGTTATACCGAGTTGCCTGTAGCTGTCAGCAGTGCTTTCATGTTCGTCTCCAAACAGTTTAATACGGATAGCCAATGCACACTGATGAGATTGAAATGCTGAGTTGTAGTCATGCATGTTGTTTTGTGTTACACCGAGTTGCCTGTAGCTGTCAGCAGTGCTTTCATGTTTGTAACGGACGATATGCTGCGACTGTAGGAGAAGCCAATTGTCACGCGGCTAAAACTATTTGTGGCGGCGAAACTCCGTGTGAGCGGGTTTATTTTACTGGTCGATCATGAATCAACTATGATCACGAAACTAGGAGCTAGTCCTTGATGGTGATTTTATTGACGATAATCGAACCGTAAACTGAAATCTAATGCAACGTAACAAATAATTACTAAAAGCTAAAGTACAACTACAATTATTATAGTTTGGCTAACAGATAATATAACATTTTACTGACATTCCAATCATATTTTCATTTTCGTAGCTGTTCCGGTATAAAACCTTGCCAAAAACGCGTAATAAGACAAAAGAAATATACTTACTGAAATACAGGGACAATAAATCTACCAACTAGAATATTAGACTAAACATACTTCATGAAGGGTAAAGAAACCTTCCCAAAAACAATAATGGTTGCTTCCTGCGAATAATACGATACTAAGAAACTAACAAAATAAATCTAAGAACGGACTACGTTTGCAAACGCATGAAAACTAAATAAACTAAAAGAAATGAGATTCCCACGCCGAACTAAAAAGTAAAAACCTACTTGAAACTCAAAAAGGCGAAGTCACGTAATGGTACGAGATACTGAGTATTACAACAATTTCTTGCAGGAATATACTTTATGAATCGCCAGATAGACAAAACTACAGAGGATAAAATGTACTTACATATCGGTTCCCGCTTGCCTCTAAGTACCAAGAAATGAACTATCCAAATAGACTACAACGATGTACACATGAAGACGACGAAATCCAACTAAAGCTAAACTTAAAAGACCATGCGTTTTCTACGTAAAAATAGGCGTTGTCTAAGGAAATGAAACTAGCGAATCAGAAAAGCTTAAGGCGAGAGATAACATATCACTAAATCAATAAAGCTTGTTGTGATGTCATTTACATGGCTCCCCTGAAATATTTATATTTCACTAATCAAAGTTCATATAACTAAAAACTATAATCAAAGTTCAAAATCAAAGTGTTCGTTTTTAAGTAACCTTGTGGCTCTTCGGTGGGTATCTCTCCGGTACTCACTCTTCCACTGCCATTAGAAGTACTAACCTCTGTACTGGTCGCTCTAGGTAACGCAGAGGTCCAGATCTCTTTCCATTCTTGTCCAGGCAGCTATCTGCGAGGGCTACTTGAACTTTGCGGACTTGACCATCTTTACTTGGGTAGACAGTAGCGACACGAGCCAGTTGCCATGCGTTACGTGAGAGGTTGAGATCTTTCACCATCACTACATCACCGACGCTTAAATTTCGACGGGGTCTTGTCCACTTTTGACGTTCCTGAAGGCTGAGTAAGTATTCTTTACGCCAGCGGGTCCAAAATTCATTGGCGAGTTGCTGTACGCGTCTCCAACGCTTGCGAGCGTACATATCGGCCGGCTCGAACTTTCCAGGCTGTGATAGTAGGACCTTCGACTTCATTGTTAAAAGGTGACTTGGGGTCAGTGGTTCTGGGGAATCTGGATCGGTGAGCTGATTGACTGTGAGAGGGCGACTGTTGACTATTGCCTCTGCCTCACACATTAACGTCCTGAGGGATTCATCATCAAGTTGCTCAGAGTTGTGTTGTAAAAGGGATGAGAGCACGTTCCGTACCGTTCGTATCTGGCGTTCCCACACGCCGCCCATGTAGCTTGCCGACGGCACATTCATCTTGAAGGTGACCCAGTCGCATTGTTCTTTCAAGAGGCTTGACTTGATTTTTTCGTGGTCCATTTCGTTTAAGGCTTCCATAAGCTCTCGTCGGGCTCCCACGAAATTAGTTCCTTGATCGCTTCGTAGTTGATTAACGGGTCCACATCGGCTGGTGAATCGTCTGAATGCGTTCAGGAACGAATCAGTGTCGAGTGAATTGGCGATCTCTAGGTGGATTGCTCTTGAAGCCATACACGTAAATAAGACTCCATAGCGCTTGATTTCCTTACGTTTTTCCTTCACCATGAACGGACCAAAGTAGTCAGCTGCACAATATGTGAAGGGTGGGGCACTTTCCAGTCGATCTTCTGGGAGGTCCGCCATCCTCTGTTCGATTACCGGTCCTCGGAGCTTCCTACATGTCACACAAGAAGCGATAACGGCGCTTACAGCGGATGAGCCTCCGATAATCCAATAACCGCGAGACCTAATCTCGTTGAGCGTCATTCCTTCGTCCTGATGCTTGGTGTACTCGTGGTAGAGCTTGATAATGAGTTTGGTTACATGACTTCCTTTTGGCAAAATTACGGGATGTTTAACCTGATCAGCGTAATCTCCATTCTTTAGACGACCACCCACGCGCAGAACACCATCCCCATCGGTGTAAGGGTCTAATTTACGAACTGGATTATATGGCTTTGTGGTCACGTGCGTTGAAGAGTCCTCTTTTCCTTTTGCTGGTTCCTTGAGCTGGTCTTTAAATGCCTTGAACTGCGCGGCGTGGATAATTAATTTTCCAGCTCTCTCCAGATCTTGGGCTCTCACTTGAACTGTCTCCTCAGGTTCTTTCTTGGCGCGAGCCTTTAGTTTCTTCATATACTTCATGCACAACGCTACCGCCCGCTGTGCGCGATACCAGCTAGAAAACCGTTCGACTCTTTCATCCAAAGTAGACTTGCTTTTTTCAGACGACGATGTTGTCATGGTGACTGATTTTTTAACCTCGGGGTCGTCATCTCTCAAGATGTGGCTCTGTTCGTCGCTATTCAGCCAAGTACAATCCTTGCTCCACAGAAACTCCGGTCCCAGAATCCATCTTGAATCTTGAAGTTCCTTGGCTTTCATTCCACGCGACGCCTCGTCCGCGGGGTTCTGTTTAGATTCTATGTACCGCCATTGCTTCTTATCTGTGCAATCTTGTATCTCTTGTACCCTGTTGGCCACGTACACATGAAATCGTTTGCTTTCATTGTTCAGATACCCAAGTACTACCTTGCTATCCGTCCAGTAGAAGTCTTCGTCGATTCTGTACTCTAATTCCCGATGTATTTGTTGGCTTATTCGTACGGAACAGACAGCAGCGGTAAGCTCAAGTCGCGGGATGGTAACGGGTTTTAGAGGAGCTACTCGAGATTTTCCCATCACAAACGCGCAGTGCACATTGTGCGCTTCATCTTCAAGGCGCAGGTAGCTACACTGACCATATCCTTGGACACTTGCGTCGCTAAAGTGATGTAATTCTGCTCTGATGACTTGACCGAAGTGGCTTGGCTTGTAACATCGGGGAATTTTGATACTTTGTAGTTTCATCAGTTCCATTCTCCATCTTTCCCATTTCATTTTTGCTTCTTCTGGAACAGGTTCGTCCCAGTCTAGGATGAGACCACATAGTTCTTGTAAAATTGCCTTTCCTTGCAACATGAGGGGGGCAACGAATCCTATGGGGTCGTATACGGAACTCACGGTGGACAAAATTCCGCGTCTTGTACATGGCTTGTCTTGCAGAACGATATTGAATTCAAAACTATCGGACTCAACGCACCACTGCACTCCTAATGTGCGTTCCAAGGGGAGTTTATCCAAGTCTAGGTCGATTTCTATGACACCCTCAGTTCTGTCGTTTTCTGGGATGCTCTTGATTACTTCTTTGCTGTTGGATAAGAACTTGTGGAGATTGAAACCGCCTTGACGACACATGGCTTTTACGTTCTTCACCAGCTCCACCGCTGACGCTGTTGTAGGGACTGACTTGTAGTCATGCATGTTGTTTTGTGTTACAGCAAGTTCCCTGTAGCTGTTAGCAGTGCTTTCATGTTCTTCTCCAAACAGTTTAATACGGATAGCCAATGCACGCTGATAAGATTGAAGTGCTGAGTTGTAGTCATGCATGTTGTTTTGTGTTACACCGAGTTCCCTGTAGCTGTCAGCAATGACTTCATGTTCTCCTCTAAACATTTTAATGCGCATAGCTTATGCACGCCGATGAGATTAAAGTGCTGAGTTGTAGTCATGCATGTTTTTTTGTGTTAATGCGAGTGCCCTGTAGCAGTCAGCTGTGCTCTCATGTTCTTCTCCAAACTGTCTCATACGGATAGCCAAAGCACGCTGAAAGGATTGAAGAGCTGAGGTGTAGTCATGCATTCCCTGTTGTGTTACACCGAGTTCCCAGTAGCTGTCAGCAGTGCTTTCATGTTCTTCTCCAAACAGTTTAATACGGATAGCCAATGCTCGCTGATGGGATTGAAGGGCTGATGTGAAGTCCTGCATGTTGTTTTGTGTTACACCGAGTTCCCTGTAGCTGTCAGCAGTGCCTTCATGCTCTTCTCTAAACAGTTTAATGCGCATAGCTAATGCACGCCGATGAGATTAAAGTGCTGAGTTGTAGTCATGCATGTTTTTTTGTGTTAATGCGAGTGCCCTGTAGCAGTCAGCTGTGCTCTCATGTTCTTCTCCAAACTGTCTAATACGGATAGCCAAAGCACGCAGAAAGGATTGAAGAGCTGAGGTGTAGTCATTCATTCCCTGTTGTGTTACACCGAGTTCCCAGTAGCTGTCAGCAGTGCTTTCATGTTCTTCTCCAAACAGTTTAATACGGATAGCCAATGCTCGCTGATGAGATTGAAGGGCTGATGTGAAGTCATGCATGTTGATTTGTGTTACACCGAGTTCCTTGTAGCAGTCAGCTGTGCTTTCATGTTCTTCTCCAAACTGTTTAATACGGATAGCCAATGCACGCTTATAGGATTGAAGAGCAGAGGTGTAGTCATGCATTTCGTGTTGTGTTACACCGATGTGCCTGTAGCTGTCAGCAGTGCTTTCATGTTCTTCTCCAAACAGTTTAATATGGATAGCCAATGCACGCTGCCGAGATTGAAGTGCTGAGTTGTAGTCACGCATGCTGTTTTGTGTTACACCTAGTAGCCTATAGCTGTCAGCAGTGCTTTCATGTTCCTCTCCAAACAGTTTAATACGGATAGCCAATGCACGCTGAAGAGATTGAAGTGCTGAGTTATAGTCATGCATGTTGTTTTGTGTTACACCGAGTTGCCGGTAGCTGTCAGCAGTGCTTTCATGTTCTTCTCCAAACAATTTAATACGGATAGCCAATGCACGCTGATGAGATTGAACGGCTTTGGTGTAGTCATGCATTTCATGTTGTGTTACACCGAGTTGCCTGTAGCTGTCAGCAGTGCTTTCATGTTCTTCTCCAAACAATTTAATACGGATAGCCAATGCACGCTGATGAGATTGAAGTGCTGAGTTGTAGTCATGCATCTTGTTTTGTGTTACACCGAGTTGCCTGTAGCTGTCAGCAGTGCTCTCATGTTCTTCTCCAAACAGTTTAATACGGATAGCCAATGCACGCTGATAGGATTGAAGAGCTGAGGTGTAGTCATGCATTTCGTGTTGTGTTACACCGAGTTGCCTGTAGCTGTCAGCAGTGCTTTCATGTTCTTCTCCAAACAGTTTAATACGGATAGCCAGTGCACGCTGACGGGATTGAACGGCTTTGGTGTAGTCCTGCATGTTGTTTTGTGTTACACCGAGTAGCCTATAGCTGTCAGCAGTGCTTTCATGTTCTTCTCCAAACAGTTTAATACGGATAGCCAATGCACGCTGATGAGATTGAAGTGCCGAGTTGTAGTCATGCATGTTGTTTTGTGTTACACCGAGTTGCCGGTAGCTGTCAGCAGTGCTTTCATGTTCTTCTCCAAACAGTTTTATATGGACAGCCAATGCACACTGATGGGATTGAACGGCTTTGGTGTAGTCATGCATTTCATGTTGTGTTACACCGAGTTGCCTGTAGCTGTCAGCAGTGCTTTCATGTTCTTCACCAAACAGTTTAATACGGATAGCCAATGCACGCTGGTGGGATTGAAGAGCTAAAGTGTATTTGTGCATTTCGTGTTGTGTTACACCGAGTTGCCTGTAGCTGTCAGCAGTGCTCTCATGTTCTTCTCCAAACAGTTTAATACGGATAGCCAATGCACGCTGACAGGATTTAAGAGCTGAGGTGTAGTCATGCATTTCGTGTTGTGTTACACCGAGTTGCCTGTAGCTGTCAGCAGTGCTCTCATGTCCTTCTCCAAACAGTTTAATACGGATAGCCAATGCACGCTGACGGGATTGAACGGCTTTGGTGTAGTCCTGCATGTTGTTTTGTGTTGCACTGAGGTTCCTGTAGCAGTCAGCTGTTCTTTCATGTTCTTCTCCAAACAGTTTAATACAGATAGCCAATGCACTCTGATGGGACTGAAGAGCTGACTTGTAGTCATGCATTTCGTGTTGTGTTACACCGAGTTGCATGAAGCTGTCAGCAGTTCTTTCATGTTCTTCACCAAACAGTTTAATACGGATAGCCAATGCACGCTGGTGGGATTGAAGAGCTAAAGTGTATTTGTGCATTTCGTGTTGTGTTACACCGAGTTGCCTGTAGCTGTCAGCAGTGCTTTCATGTTCTTCTCCAAACAGTTTAATACGGATAGCCAATGCACGCTGGTGGGATTGAAGAGCTGAATTGTAGTCATGCATTTCGTGTTGTGTTACACCGAGTTGCCTGTAGCTGTCAGCAGTGCTTTCATGTTTTTCTCCTAAACTTCTCTCCGATATCTCAAGGGCTTGGTGGTTTGCCTGGAGAGCCTTGTGATAGCTTTTTCTTTCTTTGAAAACTTTACTTAGGTCTAACAAGCACCTTGCAAGTGCTTCATTTTGTAAATGACTAACGTTCTCAAATTCGTCTATGTTAAGAGGGCTTTCTGTGCATTGGGTGAGTGCAGATTCGTGGTATTTGATTCTGGCCTCATACAGTTTAGCAGGGTCCCCACTACTTAATTTCCAGAGTAAATTTGTCACAACGCTATGAAAAGTAAGCAACCCGGGAGTAACTTGAACCTCTCCCTCGATATTCTCTACGATTTGGAGAAGCGATTTGTGTATACATTGCTTGGTGTTAGCATCAACAAAAGTGTTTGTTGCTTCGTGTAATAGAATGGCAATCTCACATTTCAGTGGTTGACGTAGCAAGTTGTCCGAGTTTTTTTGAAGTTTTACTTCATTGATAGATTCCCTTGTTTCCCCTTTTGTTGACGGGATAATAAGTAGTTGCCAGTCCCCCATTGCCATACATTGGTGGATTGCTTTGTCATAGAAGGTAGTTGCACTGGAGAGGTCGTTAAGAGACTGAAAATAAACAGCAAGTATCTGAAAAATAACCATCTCCAGAATATGTTTTTCTGTACTGTTACAATTTTTCAGTGTTGATAGGGCGTCTTTTAGGAACTGCACTCCATTATTCGTTTCTTCTGTTACAAAGTGATAGATTCCCATATAGCACAAATATTTTCCTTTTTCCAGGTTAGGGACAATAGGAGCTGCAGTTTGAAGCGCATTCACTTGTGAGAGAAGATGCCTCGTCTTTCCTTTTCTTCCCCAGGTCACCTCACCGAAAGCTATTGAAGAAAGTAGTTGCCTGTAGTATTTGTCTTTCTCTTGTAGTTTGGCTGCCTTTATGGCGGAGTCGTATATGTGAAAAAAGTTTTGTGCTTCATTCGTATTCCAAAAAAGCGAGTCAAGAAATATCTCTCCTTTCACTAGTACATCGTAAACGCTGTCAGCTCTTTCGGAATCGAAACAGCTCTCTACTAGGCTTTCAATGATGTTCTTCTTATTTTCAAAGAATTCCATATATGCTGCCATTGAGTTCCCGGTGAGAAATTGTTTATTGAGCTTCTCCAAAAAGCTTATGTAGAACGCGTTCAAACGACTCTTTGAGTTCAGCAAGGTATTTCTCATCTCTCTTTCTCCCTTCTCTCTTGCAAATGATTGCAGGAGTCTGTGCATTGTGAATGTTCCCGGTTTAGAGCTTGAATCAATGAGAGACTTTCTTCGAAGGCTTCCTAATATCTTTCTGGCTTCCACAGACCCTGTGTCACTTAAAACGGCTGCAGCTACTTCTGTACTGAAACTCTCAGGAAGAATGCTTAAGGATATAAGTGCATCTTTTTCTTGTATTGTGAGGTTCTTGAAAGAAGAGTCAAACAAGAACTGTATTCGGTGACGAGCTGGGTAATCTGGATTGTTTAACATTTCAATAATACGGTCTTCTGTCGAGGACGTCATGAAGTAATCTATAATCTGGTGTGGTTGAGCGCTATCTTCAGATATCAAAGAACACATCAACTTCACCGCTAAAGGAACTTGTCCGCAGACTTCCGCGATTTGTGTACAGTCTGCAGCGCTTGCATTTGGAAGTAACTCAGAAACTAGGGTCATAGCAGAGGCTTTATCCAATGGCCTTATTCTTAAACCCTTATGACCTTGAAAATGGAGGTCCATATACTCAAGAGACTCTCTCGTGGTTACGACAAACGTCAACATTTGATTTCGCCCTAGAATCTCTTCGAGAAGTTGCATGACCTCTTCCTTTGCGTTCGGCGAACCACTTTCTAACAAATCGTCGAAGTTATCAAGGATAAACGCAGATGGCTTTGAAACATCACTGAAACGTTGCCGAACCTCTTCATCGATGGATAGACGTTGACCAGAAGGTTGTTTTGTTGTGGTAGGTTTCCTCAGAAAGCTAAGAAACTTGGAAGCCAAGTCTGCTTTAGAGCGCACTCCCCGTAATGACACCCAATAAACAGGCAGTCCTTGAGACTGAAGTGCATGTCCAACCGCAATGGCAACCGATGTTTTTCCGAATCCAGGTGAACCCCAGATTGACACCAGTCGGGTAGACTCGGAAGAAACGTGTCGGATGATCTCCTCACACTCACCCTGGCGCCCAGTAAAATTAGGAACCACTGAAGGAAGGGGAGCTCCAAGGAGCGATGACCTCATACCTTTAAAAAAAAACCGTAAAACTCATCAAAAGATATGCGCAAATATGTAAACAAATAAACAGATCGACTCACTTAAAAGATCGATCTAGTGGCACTTGACTTTCATAGAATTTAGAAATGCTTTTTTGAAACAAAGAAAAAACATAGTCGATCAGCTAAGTGATGAAGATGTTAACATGGTTGTGTAGATGGCGCGGGAATAATCGATAAACTGCTAGCATCCTTCGTAGCCATTTCTCATCTCAAAATCGACTGCGAAGAAGGCTATTCTCTTTCAGCCAGTTTACTTTATCCATTCTTGCCACGCCTCGACTTAACTGGCACGCAGTCTTGATTGGAGCGCGCAGGTACTCTTATAAACTCTTTAGTATTTACTCCAATTCAACTCTCTCCTAGTTACCCCAACGCCAAACAAAAGCACTCCACTCGTGTAATGTAGCAGGTAAGCATACTTATATGGCAAGCTATGCAGGCTTGGAGCCACTTCAAGCCACCAAACGTTTGGTGATGTGCAAGGCCTATGTCTCTTTACAAAGTACATATTTCTCTGATTATAATTGACAAGTGTTTGTGGGCAAGTTTTAATCCCTGCAAATAACCCAAAATATTTACTCTTGCATAACCTAACGCTTGTAACATTTTAGGCAGAATAATTAAAGCACTTAACCGGGGCAGGACAAGCTTTTGGTAGAGCACTTGACTGCAATGCTGGAGTTCACGGGTTTGATCCCTAGGGCCGGACCAATACTAAGGGTCCTAAAAAACTGAGAAGTGTAGGCACTGCCGCTCTTGCCCTGATAACCGAGTAAAATGGTGGGAGACATAAAAATAGTGTCCTCAATAAGTAATTTCGAACCAAATGCGTTGACACTCAAATAAAGTGTGTTTTTTTTACCAACTGAACAGAAGTTCTCTTGACTTCCGTGTTTTGTCTGGCGCTAGGAATATGGAACTAGCTAGACGGACTCTAAAACTTCGGCGTTGATTAACTTTCACCGCTTTCATTCCAGTCTGTCATTTCTTACCTGAATTTTCAGACTGTTTATCACGTTCATCTTTCCTTGATTTCAACTCATTTATCCTTTCCTCCAATCTAGCCATGACTTCTCTGCTGGCTGTGTCCTCTTCACTCATCTGTTTCAAAACATTGATATCTGCATTTACACCCTCGAGAATCGTAGCGTACTCTGCTTGTGCTCCTGTAGCAAAATGTTTGGTGTCTTCCTTGTTTGCCTGTTTTATAGAATGCAATATCGCTTTTATCTCACAGATGTCTGAACTCACTTCCTCGAGAAATTTGATGTACGCTCGACTCTCGTCTCTGAGTTTCATTTCCAATCTGCGAACTTCATTTGTGGGAAAGTCCGACTCCGTCAAGCCACCAACGGCGTCAATTGGGACCGTCGAGACACCAAGGGCCTTAAACGCATCTTTGGCGTAATTCACGCGCTGATCAAAGGTCGCTTTGTCCATCTCAGAATTTTTCGGGTGGCAAAGTGAATTCCTAAGACGACGAAGCTGATCAATTGCAAGTGCAAAGGTCTCCGCCTTGTTCCCACCCGGGCTGAGCACATTTGCGTGGAAACTATCATGAGGTATAGCGCGCGGTTTCACGTACAAATCACTGAGTGTGGTGAAGGAGCCTGCGCTAACTGGTAAGGCAAATGACCGCGCAAATATTGTAGCCTGGAAGAGATTGGTGCAATCCCAATCATTGTAAGACTGGTGAATAGGAACTTTAGTCTTACCACCTTCTGTAGTGGCAAATAAATTTCTCACAGCAGTTGAGTCATCCCAGGGCTGGAAACCAGGTCGACCTCCATAGGTGTTGTCCCACATGGTTTTAAAGGTCTGCCGTAAGACTCTTGGAAATTCATTTAATACTAACGAGGAGAACTTAAAAAAGTTCAGTTGCTCGTAGCTAAACGGCTGTAATGTCATCTCTGATGGTCGGTGATTAAGCCGTCAATGGAAGAACTAGAATGTAGTAAACAAAAATTAGATTAATAGACAGATTTTAGCAGGAGTTTCTGCCTGGAATAAATAAGGCATGTACGAGTGTTAATACGATAAGAAATAGGCCAAATTTGAAGGTAACGTAAATCTACATTCATATCGTTTTGTGGTTCAGGGATGTTGCAAGCAGTGAAAGTCAAATTGCAAGAGGTGGGAAATAAAGAACAAGATAGAGAAAGTGGTGAGGAAGCTGAAATACATGTTGTCTGGTGACAATAATGCCTGCTCTGGCAAATATCTAACCTCCCTTTCCAGTCCCTCAGATATACTGAACTGTGAGCGAGGAGTCTAAGAATTGTCAAGTTTGGAAGAAGAGGTTTTAAAGGAAAATATTTCAGCTGCAGAAAGTTATGGTGAACAGTTCAGTGACAAGGGTCCAATATATCACTGGAACAAAGAGGCGGAGAGTGTCTTTGTAAATTTGGAAAATATACCTTGCGAGGCAGCTGCTGACCCTCCGATAACACTTTACAAACAACCTTGGCTACCTTCCACCATCCCCGCCCCCCAGGTCGCGCAAGCTGTGATCGCGCATCTCCACACCCCACACCTTTGCCCACTCCTCACAAAGCATACATTCACACGTGAAAAGATTATGGGAAAAGGTGCAGGAGAAAGGGCGCACTACACAACAGGAAAAAAAGGCGGAAAAAAAAATTGGGAAATTTGAAAAAAATCCCTTGCCACCAACCCCCGCCCCCCCCAAACTTCTTTATAAAAAAACCTTGCCCCCCCCCCCCCCCGCTTCTAGCCAATCTGAAGTAGCCTTGACCGCCCCTTCTTTTTTTCCTCCCCCACCCCTTCTACATAAATAATGACCCGTCCATAAGGCACCATGATATCACTTGACTGTGTCGGATGTTGGACATTTTGGAAATGAGCTCCTTAAGTAGAGTCCAAACATTATATTCTTACAAGACCCCATCTGCTGTTAGGGATATTAGCCCTATGATTTATTCATGCATAAGTTAAGGCAAACATATGGATATGCGATGGCAATTGACTGAGGGACGACGACCGCCTCGTTTATCAGTGACCTTTCTCTCCACCCTAGCTGAAAAAAGGGCTGTTTGTTGTTTTCGCGTTTTACAAACTCGCGATACACACAAGGCTAAGATCACGTTTTGTGTAAAAAGTAAAAGCTTTCATAATATTGATCAAGCTGGTCTGAGTTGACGCAAATGACATACCGGCAGATCAGTGGGGCGTGAGTGGCTGTACTAACCTGAAGGTTTAACTTCCACCAACTTGCAATACAACAAGACAACTCTTTTATTAATCTGTGAAATTATTATCACTGAAAGAATGTGTGATGGAAACAACTATGACGTTGTGATTGATAACTGTAAAAGAGATCAGGCGATTATAAGAAAATCGAAAAGACGTTTATAATAATTATGTTAAGAGGGATTTCGTACGAAACACGTTTACTTAGCATCCGACCAATTTCGAGATGTTAAATGCTGCTTGGGGATTAAAAAAAATCGAGGTTCTAAGCTGAAACAACCCACTAACCATGTTAGAGTAACATCTGAACATATCACATAAACATAAACATACTAGTTTGAGGCAATATTGTATTCAGCTACTCATGGGTTTCTGTGGTCCCAATGTCCTGAGTAGCTCACACTCCTGCTTCCGCTTAGCTCGGCACGTCTGCCGCGTCCCGTATCACGCATGCCAGTTTTACGTTTATAACATACGTAGAAGACTTCTTCCACAGATCTGTGGTTGAAGGACGAGCGCTCTCAACGAATAGGTTAAAAGAACGAAAAAAACAAAAGTTAGATCTTTCAACTTGTTTTGAATGAAGGTATGGGCATGATTTTCAATTGAACATGCCTGAGCGAGCGTAAAAATTGCATTCAGTCTGAGGATTAATGAAAGAGGCGAAATTTTATATATTTTGGCACGACAAAATTAAAGGGACTAGAAATAACATCTCATAGGCATGTTGATGACGCTCACCGACTCTTGAAGACTGTGGTAAGATGTTTTAACGATCAAAAGGCCTTGTAAGTGGTTAGGTGTTCCTTATCCAAAAACAATTACCATCTCCTTCTTGTCAAAAAGCAAATGGAGGACAATGAGTCTTTCTATATTTCATACTTCGACACATCTGGAGGGCAAAACAACCTTCCCACTGCCACATTAAATCAAACTTTATATCGGTGCTCTGATACCTCAGTCCTTAACTGGTCATAGAGTATGTAAGTATTCCTGCAGCTTTTACTTCCTGCTTCGCTATTTTACCTACATTCTATATCTGGGTGTATGGGCGCCAAAACAGCTCTACATAATTGAAGTCATCCACCTTATCAAATGAAATTTTCGCGACATGTTTATTTCGCGATTTTCATGTGCGCACTCTTTCTCGACACTTAAATTTCGCAATTTTGCGAAAATTTTATATTTTGAATCACTTTAAATTCGCGTTTTCGAGTGCAACAATTTACATTTCATAGGCAATGTTATTTAGCTTTTCTTTGAATTAAATAAAACGACTTTATCAAAGGAACAATAATGTAAAAATTAAGAAAAACCAAGCAGTTCTCGCAATGTCCACAAGTAGCTCATGCTTGTACGAGAATATTGTTCTTAAGTCAATTGACCACAACATCCATTTACACTGAAAATTCATCAGAAAAGTAAAAAAAGTGATTTTAAACGTTTCAGTGGTAATAAACTCGTTCTTTCTTGATTGTTGACATAATATCAGTCACTTAATTTTCGCGTCATGTTATGTTCGCGACAATCATTGTTCGCGTCAGTTTAATTTCGCGATCTTTTTTGTATCCCGAAATTCGCGAAATTAACGTGTCGCGAGAATTTTATGCAATAAAGTTTTCATAGTTATTATAAAATACAAACTTTACCTTTCTGTTCAAGACATAAACTGGCAGCTCAAAGTATCCCCTCAAAATAACGATACGATGAACTTAGTATAGTATCAAGCAGTGTGCAGTAAAACTATAAGATCGTATCATTTACGAACACAAAAATGATGCATAAAATGTCTTGGACAAGAAATAGGAAACTCGCTCAAACTGCGCAAAGCCCAATGACGTCACTTTGTTAATTTTAATTGGACCAGCGAAGGAGAATCAGTGGGCACTTTTGATGTTACTGACGCTTTGGCCAAAATTAAAACTTACCCCTTTCAAAACCCCCCCTCAACCCCCCCCCCCCCCCCCCCTTATCCTCGAAATCACGGACGTGCTTATAGTATAGATAAAGAGTATCAGAATATCCTTTTCGAAGATCAGAGTGCAGTAAGTGAACGATGGATCTAAATTAAAAATCCATGGGCAATTAAAAGAAGCATCAGAAGTCACGGGGTCGCGAATACGGCAACGAGTGTTGTATTGCTACCCGAAAATAAAGGCTGATTATTGTTTTCGTGACGTAAAATCAATGACCCGCAATGTTCTTGCTTCTTCAGCAATTTTGGTTTCAGTTTCTTTATGTACTCTTGTTCATTCTTTGCTTGTCCTCCATCATCTTCAAGCGGTCCAATATCTCCTGTATACAAGAGCCTCATGATGCTGTTAACTATTTCGAATCCATTCATCTTAACGGCTTGGAGGTTTCCTTACGCTAAGTGGTCTTCGGCTCTGACCAGCTGACTGTTCTTCTTCGGCCAAGTTTTCTTCTTCTAATTTCTCCACCCCACTCTTGTGAACATTTTTGATATCTTCTACCAGCTCACCTCCCTCCTTAACTGGCAAATCTGCCATCTGACAACTTTCACCGCCGTGCTCGAGTTCCCCAACTTAAGAACCGTAACATCAAGGCAGCGGGACCGATACTCACTCCAGCATGGCAAGTCAGTAACCTCGTCAGGAAGATCATCACTAGCTGCAGACCAGATAAAATCTTCCTTCAGCTTCGCCAGTGACCGCATCATGCTCCATTGACTCCACTTTCCACGACACTGGCGTTAACCATTCATGGACACGTTCTTTGCTTCCACAATGAGGCGCATTCACTGACCCTTCAGCAGACGGTTTCTCTAAGCTTTATTTCTACGTTCTCTGGTACAAGGTCATTGAAATAAACTACTGATTTCTTTCCCCACCCAATAACTGACTTCCGTGAACTATACCACTTCACCAGGATGATAGTCAAGTCGAAGTCGAGATAAAGTCGGGACAAATAAGTTGAAGTCGGTTCGAATTTGGTTTGCACAGTCTCGCACCAATGTTCGTGAATGTTATCTTGACTCAAAAAGCTAAGTTTTGATAGTAGATGAGCACGAGTGTAGATAGAAATAAAGCCCCTATGGCTGACAGAAGTTGATTAACACCATGAAGTCTACACTAGAACTGAACTACTAAGGCCCGATTCAGACGCCGAACCTTTCATGAGCCGAACCTAAGACATTGAATCAAGTACATGAAAAGTTCGGCGTCTGAATCAGTTAGGAACGCCTGTTTCAATTTGGAACGGCTCAGCCATTCTTTTCGCCTAGCCCGGCCGGGAATTTCACCTTTGGAGCGACTTTGGAACAGCTTTGGAACAGCTTTGATTCAGACGCCGAACTTTTCAAAAACCGAACCTCATGCATAGATTATTATAACGTATTTTGTTAGCAGTATGACCGAACACAGCCTTTTTCGCCTTTTGAACTTAGTTCAGCTGCAATAAAGATTGGCGTCTGAATCAGTTCAGCGGGTCTAAATAAGTTGGGTCGATCGGCCATAATTCGACTGAATTCGGGTTCGGCTCATGAAAAGTTCGGCGTCTGAACCTGGCCTAAGATGTAAACGCTAAATTTGTAATCAACAAAACGTGCTTGAAAACGATCTAGAAATTATTACGTATTTCCCATGCGAACAGAACAAAAAAGGGCTGGGAAAGTAGCTGTAGGCGCTAATGGACTGGTACGCAACTTTAATATATTTGAAGCCCTTTATATTTCAGTGTTGGACACTTCGTTGTGGGAAAACAACATCGCTATAAACGAGTTCTGAAAATACAAGAAACGCCGTTAACCCTATGTCTAGCAGCAAGGAAAAGCAAAGGCTAATTCTGGAAAGTGTTAAAATAGTTAATCCAAAATTTATAAACTTTATCGGTGTAATCTCCCCGGGCACACATGAAAACCACAAGACAGTTTATGCTGTATGAAATGTGAAATCTACAGGCTCAGTGGCGCTTTGATACGCCTTGTACGCCCACGTGAGAATAACATATAAACGCGCTAAAAGAAAAAATTAGCATAACGCGCTAATAATAGCCGTGGGCTTATCAATAAGAAACTCATTTATACAGCGATATTCGATTTATAATAACTACAATTAGAACGTTCGTGCAATAACGAGGGATAAACGAAACGAAATCTCGTTTCAAAACCAACTCAGTCACTGTAGACCTATCTAAAGCTTTTGACACAGTTGATCACTCCATCATAATCTCAAAATTAGAACACTATGGAATAAGAGGAATTGCACTCCAGTGGTTTAAAAACTACTTGTCTAATAGATATGGAATCGTCAAATGTAAGGATAACCAATTTGAAAACAAACGATCAAATGTGGTGCACCTCAAGAGTCTGTTTTGGGCCCACTCCTGTTTCTACTGTATGTAAATGATAGCGGAGCTCTGGCGCACGAAGCGCGCCTGCAGAGCACCATGGGTAAGTAAATCTACATATCCCAGAAAATTTGGTAATCACGTGACAGTGCTCCGCCCGTCCCCATCCGCTGTCCGTCCGTCCGCGCCACAGGGTAACCAATGTTCAGTCACACACTTTCTAGCTAGTTTGGGAACACAGGAACACTGACATTGCACACATATTGCACATCAATGTTGTTATCAATTGACAGCTGTCAAAACAGGGTATCCGCTGACCAGTATCACCTAACCGTATCGCGGGCTCAGGTGTCGACCCATCGAGGTCGAGTATTTGTTTGAAGTTATCCGCTGACAAGTTACTTGCTTTCAAATGATTGCAGGCTCAAGTTTAATTTTTTAATTCATATGAATATGTTGTGTTTTATATGTGCCGCACAATTAAAATTTTGATTTCAAACTGACCTCGGAAGCTAAGATTCAGCCAGTTTTTACAGGCAGGGAAGACATGCTAGTTGCTTTTGACTTTTCTCACCAAGGTCACGCGTTGGTCACGCTCTACGTCCAATTTTTATGCTCTGATTGGTCAAAATTTGACAGGTTAGTTCATGCGGAAAATTTATGCAACGTCTTGAAACTTGTTTACTTTAACAGCTGAAGCTGATAGAGTTTTGTGTCAACTTGTGATGTTTTTAACTGTCTTTTTCCACTGAACATTGTACAAAATGAATTTCAGCTTCTATCAAGAGTCTTCTGTTATTCATGGCTAGTTTGTTTATCGGGTTTTTGGTTGAGAAATACGTCTCGATAATTTTATTTTATAGTCTACTCAAACAAAATAGAAAATTGTGTAATGCTAAGCGGCAAAGGCAACGCCGGAGGACGGTGAAAAACAACAATAGTTCTAATTAGCAAAAAAGCAACTCTGCACGTGCAGTACACTTTTTGGTACATTTCTTTGCCGTTGTTTTGCACGACTACAACGTGAAACGTCCAGAAACCTCTTAGTTACACGTTTTATGGAGGAAATGTCGTACGTTTACTTGTTCATTTTTTTTTTCACTGCTGCTCATTTTCACCTTGCATTGGTGGCCGCTAGCATTTCTCATTTTGTTACCACCGCTACAAAATTTTCATGTTATTCTTCCAACAAAAAAATGTCTCCTTTGTTTTTTATCTCTGGCTCTAGATCTCTGTCGCCCTTTTTCTCGTTGAGCTTCGCTGGCCTGCCGCCCACTTTCTCTTTTTCTCGGTCTTTCTTTTGCTCTATATTCCAAATTTGTGCACATGACAATTAATCTAAGCTTAATACTTTCGAAAACACGGATACAGAGACAATTTCCACTTTCCGTTTTCGTCTTCATTGACTCCTTAGTTGCCTCTTCTTCACAAGACGCGGGTAGCTATGCGACTTCCCGTCAAAATAACCTCGACTTGCATTTAGGTTGCCATACCTGTCGATTGAGCTATTTTTACATTGGTATGCCTGTGGTGCGGACGGACGGTCTGGAGGGCGGTCGGTGTAGGGTAACGTGATTAACAAATTTTCTCGGATGGGTAGTATACCACATTTTCTTACCCATGGTGCTCCGCTACGCGCGCCTCGCGCGCGAGAGCTCCGCTATCAAACATACTACAACCAAAATAGCAAAAACTACTGGTATTTTATTTAAAGCTAGACACTTCCTTCCTTCCTATTCATTACCCTTATCTTAATTATGGAAAGATAATATGGGCAAATACTTATCCCTAGCCTGTACACAGACGGTGTTTTATTTTTCTTTTCGTTCTTTTGGAAAACATCGGCGTACCCCTACCCCTTTGCGCTGGCGGTCAATAAATCCCCCCCCCGCGCGGTTTATTTTTAATCACGCGCGCTCGACGGACTTTGAAGAGAAAATAGAGGGTCTGTGAACAGGCTAACTTATCCCTCGAGATTACAATCAATCAGAAAACTACGAAAGAAGATTGTCAGGGCTTTTTCATTTTCAGATCCTAGAGATTATACTCGTCCAATTTTTGAAAATCTATTTATTTTACGAATTGATGAATTGAACAATGAGGCGATAGCATTATTTGCATTTAAATTTTCAACAAAAGCTCTTTCCCCAAATAATGAATTATGTATCGGGCAAATCGAAGCTTCAACATGCCCCCCCCCCCCCCCCCCCCGCGCACCCCCCCCGCTCTCGCCCCCTCCCCCCTGCCGGGGGGGGGGGAGGGTGTTTTTATTCGTTCTCCTGGGGGGGGGGGGGCTGGCCCCTCCCGTTCTGGTGGGGGGGGGGGTACGGGCCCCGCCTCCTCCTGCTGAACTGTTCTTTCTACGATTCAATACAACAACATAAAATAAAATAAAATAAAAAGCTCAGGTCAACTACTTAATGACCTACTGCAAGTATGTTGATTAATAAGGTGAGCGATGATGCATGTCAGTGAAATGGTCATGATGTAGTAATCTCAATAGGTGGGATCTTTTTTATAGAACGCTTTGTATGTTGCATGAGAAAGAAAAGCTGAGCATTCAGTGACCTTGTAGCAGCGATTTCCGCCGCTTTGCACGAGACTTTTGTTCGTAGTAAATACGCTAACAGTGTTTCTCAGTTTTTGCTCTATTTATAAAGATTTTGTTCGACAACTGAAGGCGTTTCCGCCGTCCTTCTGTCATTTTTGTGCCTTTGAAATGTCCCCGGGGTGGGGGCATTTGATCACCTGAATGGACCCCAGTGTGGGGCATTTGAACGGCATTTTGGCCCGGGTAGGGGGGAATTTGAACACTAATTTTCAAAAAAGTCAAATGCCCGGGGGGTTGCCCGGGGGGAGGGGGGTGGGCATGTTGAAGCTTCGATTTGACCGATACATTATTTCCTCCTCATTCAAAAACCACAAAGAACAGGCACGTACGAATTATAAAAAAAATATTCTATCAGATTTAAAGGATGTGAAATTTGGAACAACCTTCTCATATTCATAAAAAACTCAGAATCATTTTAATATTTTTAAGAAAAGGATTAAAAGATATTACTGATATTGATTTATTGAAGTAATACAATCATACCAAAGCTAAGATAGCCTTTGTTATTATAAATCTAATTGAAACAAATAGAACCATTCACTTGTTGATTATGTGTTAATCATTTTATACTTTACAGCAGGAGCTCTCCTTGTTAAGCCCAAAAGGGTTTGACTTTGTCGAGAGTTCCTACCCCACTCTTCCTATTCTGTTGTGAAAATGTACCTGAAATGAAGGATTGATTGATTGATTTGCGAAAGAAGAGAAGACCCTGGGGACGGTGTTCGGTCGGTTACCGCTTTTTCGATCACAGGCCCACAGGCTTCCCAAACTTTTCTGAGTGCCACACGTGGTGTGGGGCTTTGAGTTTTTCATGCGACTCTCCCTCTATTTTCATATTCTCAGATATTCTTAACTGTGTATGCCTCTTAGCCTATACTATCAGTCGCATGTATTCGAGAAATGGAAAGCGTGGGATTCTTCGAGGGACCCGAAAAGCTCATGGAAGTGTGGTGGCAGCCGGTTTTGGAAGCTGACAGGGCAAGGGCAGATTTGAGATACATTTCGCGGTAAGAATACTGAAACGTGAAGTAACGTTTGTTTCCTATTACCTATATCATGTAATTTAACGTCTTCTTGAGAAATTAGTTAACTGCTCGAAATGTGAAAGAAGGTAATGAAGCATAAACACGTGCATGGGGCTTTGTAAATAACCTCAGATCTTGGAGAACTTGTGTTATAAAAAATTAATGAGAGCTTTGTTTCCTCAATACCCTGCTAGCAGAGTCACTTCGCAATTACCCCACTGAGCCTCTTCTGAGATGGTATTTAGCGAAACTTCCCTTCGTCTAGGAGGGTCTGAAAGTATCCTCCCTCAGAAATATTGAAGACTTCAAGAGACTAAAATTCATTTGCGAGTGTTCTGGGCACTACAAAAATTAAGTACAAGAAATGAAGGAGTGTTTCTTATCAACAGGTGCAATTTTTATTTATAATAATATATTATTTTATTTTATTTTACAATGCTGATAAGTAAATGAAATATGTGCTCTGTTTGCAAATGCAATAAAACACATGGTTCAGTAAAATGGCTGTGAACATTTAACACATGGTCGGTTTACTCAGAATATCAAATCAAAATATCTGAGGTACAAACTCTTGTTAAACATGTATTGCCTGTGAAGGTGAGAGCAATGAAACCACAACACCCCTAATATCACCACTGTACAAGAAAAGAGGCAGGAACTGGGGAGGAAAAAGTTTGAGTGTCAATGAAATCACAACCACGACATCCATAATTTATTCAAAGTTTCATGACTATGACAATAATTGTTTGTGCACATCATTGCGTATTCAAAATTTAAAACTTTATCCTCTGTACCAAGCTCCCAACCTCTTCTCATGCAATGGCAAATGCAAGTCCTAGGATTTCATGGTAACAAACGTTTCTGGTACCATGTGGTTACCGTGAACTTAAAGTAATGGAACCGAAAAAATAGTTTCTCAGTGACATATCCTGATTTATAAAATAGCTAAGATAGTATGCGCGCTCTGATTGGACGAGAGGCATGTTTGCATGAGAGTATGTAAAAATGGTTGTGATGTCAAGATGTTTTGCTTTTCGCGCGCTAATCACGTAAGCACAAATTTGAAAAAGTTTTTTGAGTTCAAAACTCGACAAGGTTACTTTATTTACTCATTCCTTCGTCGGCTGAAACTTGGAAAATCTTTACAAACAATCTGTGTCAATTTTTTTTTGCTAAAGCTGACATTTTAAACGAGAAAAATCCATATTTTGGAAAGCATCTTTTTGCAAAACAAGAACTGATTACACGTGCAAGACTTCGTGTACAAGACTCTGGGACTGGTAAGAATTTCTGTTTTAATTAGTGCCATAACAAAGAGTTTTTGAGTTTTTTTGTAGGTAAGGCTATTTTATAAAAGCAACAGAAAACTTTTTTCCTGTGTTTGCATAGCCTGATATAAATACTTGAGGGGTTGGGAGAATTCTCAACATTTATGCAAACCCTAGACTTTGTCCCAGGTTTGCATAACTGTCTCGAATTCTCCCAATCCCTCTCGTGTTTATATCAGGCTATGCAAACACGGAAAACATTTTCTATTGCTTAAATATTGAGACTTGGCATCAAAATACACAGATATATAGTATTTTCCCACTCAAATTCTTAACTAGTGGAGCAATTGTTATTTAAATTCTTTGGTTAATACTCAGCTTGTATATGAAATTTCAAAAATGTTTTCCGCCAACATAAATCAATCCGAAAGTGCATTGCGCGTTACTGATGACTGATCACGCGTGAAAGATGTTTTACAGTCTAGCAACAGCGATTGTTATGGCTTTTATTACCAAGAAAAAAAATGTATGACTCCAAAAGTTTAAAAACATTTAGAAGGCGGTCTTTTAGTGATGATTTCACAGCCATTTTAGGGAAATTATTTGACATATTTAGATTATCATACAAACACAATAATTTCACATGCGGTTGCCTACTCATCAAGATAGCTCCCAAAACCGTGACAAGGTCTATCGACCTTCTGACATTTTAATAGACATTGAAGATTTTTGTAAATAATAGTGCTTACTGATGTTCATTAATTTTAAAGTATGTTTAACAACATGTTTCCCATGTACATTACAAAAAAAAAGTGGGTTCCTATGAATTTTCATGGAACCAAAAAGTTGTTTCAGATGGTTTCCCATGATCTCTGGGCACGGAACCGAAAAGTTGTTATATCCGTGAGTTTTGAAATCCTAGGATGGGTAAATGCATGGTTCAATTGTCGCATAAATTTTATTTGTGAGCAATTACAGTCGACTCCCGATAACTTGAACCTTCAAGGGAAATCGAAAAAAGGTTTGAGTTATCGGGAGTTTGATTTATCGGAAGTTCGAAGAAAATAGCCAATAGTAGGGTGAAAAACAGTTTTTACAGCACAGTGGTCAACATATCTTATCACATCTAATTGTAGAAATGTCAAGTGAAAATTAAAAGACACTTCTAAATTATAAATCAGAACGTAACGTAACAAAAGATAGCCTAAATAGAGCATACATTTTACTGTTTTGAGAAGAAAAGCTGCTTCACTTTAGTCTGTGACAATCAACATCAGCCTCCTCTAGTAAACTATACTCCTACAACACGTCAATAGGAAATCCAAAATTCAATGTTTTGAACGCCAGTAGACAGCTTTTTCTCGACTTGTTAAGGGCTCAAGACATGGTTTGAGTTATCGAGCGTAAAATTTTATAGAAAATGACCTGAGGGGAATTGGTTCGAGTTTCTAGCAGTAGTTCAAGTTAGTGAGGGTTCGAGTTACCGAGGGTAAAATTACAGTGAATGTAAGACAGAAATCCAGGGGAAATCCATTTGGTTCAAGTTAGCGCGAGGTTTGAGTTAGCGAGGATTTGAGTTATCGGGAGTCAACTGTAATGTATTTAATGCAAGAAAACAGGTTTTTCATTCAAGGCAATGTAGCTTTCATATTTCAAGTTTCATTTGTCAGCCATGCAATCAACCCCTACAAACAATGAACAAATGACATTGCACTTGCACCAAGTTTGTGTAAACCTTGTGTGTTTTATCGCCAAAACAATCAAAGAAATGTGTGAAAAATTGACTGAAATACAGTATTATAAATACAAAAAAGCATCACATATTATTGAAACCAGTGACATTATGACATTATTAAAGCTTATTTGCTACTTCTTTTGGGGCATGTAATTATCTTATTGGTACATAATTTCATGGATTTTACAATTTTGGTGAGACAGTATTTCACAGGTTTTATTTTTGCGATTTCAATAGGCAACTATGGAATGAGGGCATTAAATTTCACAATTCCAGCATTCTCAAAGTAATTTTATTTTTTTAAAAAGTCTGAACTTTTAAAGTTCTAGTAAACTAGAAAAAACAAAATGTGTACAATGTACATGTATTTACTGAGAAACTTTTAAGTGTCTTTGCACTATTTCACTATAGAAGATACAAAATGAAAGTTGTGTACAGTATATTTGCCAATACATATCTTTTATGTGTTGCTTTTATCAATTTTTTCTGTGATTTGAATTTTACATATGGTATTAAATTTTGCGTGTTTAAATTTTACAAGGACTTTTATTTGCATTGTCACTATTTTAATATTCACAACCGTAACAGCGATGGAAATTCCACAGCCAACGGGGTAATTTATTCAATCAACAACTTTCCCAATCCTATAACGTCAAAACTAATGCAACCACAAAAAAAGCATCCCATATCGGTTGCTGTCTGGAAAACCTTGCTCCAGTCAATTGATGTTCTTCTCTCTCACCTTCTTCTACACTGCTTAAATTTTGTCTCTTCAATGCCAGATCGATTATCAACAAAACTCTACGAATCAAAGATTACATTGTGGATGAATGCATCAATTTACTAGTGATCGCTGAAACATGGTCTAAGCCTGATGAATCCTCTGATTTTCCTTTGCGTGATATATGCCCAAAAAGATACACTTTCCTTCACTGCCCCCATTCCTCTGGTTCTGGTGGTGTCTGTGTCCATAACAACTTATTACATGTTGTCGATAGCCATTGTTGTGTGGTTCTGCTATTACTCGATTTATCGGCCACGTTTGACACTGTTGACTACAACTTATTACTCAACAGACTTGAATCTAAGTTTGCAACTCGTGGTAAAGCATTGCAGTCGTTCAAATCCTATCTTTCTCAATATTCTCAGTTTGTTAGTATCAACCTGGATAAATCCTTATCTCATGAATTGAATTGTAGGGTACCCCAAGGCTTCGTGTTGGACCCAGTCCTTTACCTTCTCTACACATCACCTGTAGCTGACATTCTTTGACGCCACAATATGGCTTTCAAACTTAAAAATTGTATGCTGATGACACCCAGTTGTATGCTTCTTTCTCCTGCAACTATGACTTGGGATTACAATTTACCATGAGTAACATCAAAAAATGCCTTAATGACATACATTTATGGATGACTGCTAACAAGCTTAAATTAAACACAGTCTGCATACGTCTTTTATCCCGCTTCATTTTGGTGCTGATCTCATCTAGCCATCCCAACATGTCAGAGACATGCTATTTTTGACTGTACTCTTTCAATGATACCTCAGGTTAACTCCATCTGTAAGTCAGCGTTCTATCAACTGCAGAACATTGCTCACATTAGGAAGTATTATCTCCCATGACCACTGAGTTCCTTGACCAGGCCTTTGTCTCATCGAAGTTAGGCTTCAGCTGTAATTCTCTGCTGTATGGTATTCCTAAATATCTACTGTGGAAACTACAATCTGTTCAGAATGCTGCTGTGCGCTTAGTGGCATCTTTTTCAAAATTTGATCACATATGTCCTCTATTGCATTGGATTGCAGTTGCATACACTGTATTCCAAAATGGCGTCAACTTAATTATTCTTTTTATAATTATGTTAATTGGCCCTCGATGCCTTGATCGCATCTTTAGAATTCAAAGAATTTCTAGCTGGAATCAAGGCATCAAGGGCTAATTGATATAAATTTAAAAGAATAATAAAGTCGTTGTTATTTTGGAATATTAAAGGTGTATTGGCTCCCCATTGCCAAACGCATTAGACTTAAAATTGTCCTTTAAACCTTCAAAGGTCTTTATGACCTACTGCCTTCCTACATCAAAGAACTCCTAACTCGGTATTGTCCTGCATGCATGCTTCAATCATCATCTACCTTACTTTTAGCCCGGACTGATTATAACTTGAGGACTTCTGGTGCCAGGGCGTTCAGCATCTCCACCCCTGAACTTTGGAATTGGCTACCTGATGACATTAAATCTATTGACAATTTAACAACTTTTAAATCAAAGCTTGAGACCTTATTTTTTTAATGGTGCTCTGAAATTTTTTTTTTTAATGTCATTTTTCTTTATTTATTTTTTACTGTCGTGTGAGTATTGTGTAAAACACAAAGAGCTGCTGTATATGTGCTATATAAATGTTTATTATTATTATTATTATTATTATTATTATTATTATTATTATTCATTAAAAAGGGAAATTATTTTGCTTCTCTGAACAATTTCATTCATTGTGAAAAGGGTAGATGTAGTAAGGTTTATAATTTTATTGAAATTTGCATCACTCATGGAATGTGTGTGGATCACATGGCAAGGCAGAAAGAAGTTGGCTTTATATATATTTATATATCTTTACTTCTGGTCATAGGCATCCACAATGTTGTCATCAAGGCAACAAACTAGGTCCAATGTTTTGGCTGTTTTTCTGGCCTTTTCGATGATCAAAAAATGGTTCTGGCAAGAACCAGACTGCAGAAGTATTTTGCAGAAAACGTTGTAGCAGTTTGGACCAGTAGCTTAATTTAATAAGAGCAAACATCAAGATGAAAGAACTTTTGTCAGTGCCTCACTTCACAGTTTAGCTTGTGCAATATATTTGTTTGAATTGTGTTTTATTTTGCACTGTCAAAACCTTGCTTTTTTTCCCTAATATCCAATTTGGAATCCATTCAGAATTATACCTCGGAAAATCCTCATTTAGCTTGATACTTTCCCATCTGATGGATCACAGTTTCAGTTCCATACTTCGAACCCAAGTTGAACTTGCATGCAAACTGCTGTGTTTGTATTTTTTTTAACTGAGCGGCCAAATAATGCTTAATATGTTTACATATTTAAAAATAAAACAAGGAAATACAGAAATAAGAAGAAAAAAGAAGGAATAAGGTGGGACCTTCTTGACAGGATATTCACAGAGGGTCACCCATCCAACATGGCTTAACTTGAATTTAATCTTATTTAAGGTCCAGATAAGAACGATAGCAACAACGGCAACGAACATGTTGGAATGCAAAAAAGGAGCTAACTTTTCTATTGTCTGTACTTACTTCTGATTGGCTTAAACAGCAAAAGTTAACAAAACTTCATAAAGCGGTACATATATTCATCCTTACCTTCCAACCATCTTCCATATAACAAAATCTGGTCTCACTTTGAATAACAAAGAAATCCTATGTGGGGAACATGTAAAATTGTAAACTTTTCTTGGCTATTGTTTTCAACTCTTGTGATTGGTCAAAATCTTTTAACACCAAAAAAAACTCTTTCAAAGTTGAGTGTAAATGCTTTTTATTGTGTAAACGGCCTTCATGTAGGTTTATGCATTCATTGTGTAAAAATGAGAACATTCCTATGTGGGGAAAGCACCGTTGCTGCATAACAAAAGAAATTGCTATCCACCTTACCCGGATCATTACTTAATCTTTATTTCACATGGCTTAACTTGAGTTGCACTACCAAAAAACTGAGTTTTGTGAGATGTGTATTTCTAGTTACAATAGTCTTTGCGTTTTGTTATTAGATTAATACCAAATATTATAAAATAATATTTTGTTATAGTTATTACTCTACAAAGGTGTGAATGCATTATCCTTTTTTTTTACAGAGAGAAATGGTCAAATCTTTTAACACTTGTGAATTGCACTATCATCAGTGAGAAGAGGAATGAAGATATGACTGCATATCTTCTCAGGTAGGTACATATTGCATTAGTAAAACAACTAAAGGTTAATTGGGTGTAAGTAAGATCAATGCAAGGTGTTGCAGATTTCTAATTGCAGGCTCAGTAAAATGCCCTTGCTCCAATGCCTGGGTGCTTTGGATAAGGGAAAAAAATAGATCAACATGTATGTGGACATTATATTCATTTGGTGTTAATTTTTTGTATTTTATTGTTATTTTATTTATTTATTTAATTATTTATTTATGTTTTAAATGGTTTTTTATTACTTTTTATATGCTGCTCAGTTTTTATTTAATTTTTTGATGTCTCAGTGATGGGTAACGAATCCTTAAATGTACATATATTAGTAGAAAAGTTTCATGTGATAGAAGGTCAAAATGCACATGATCAGATTATGAGTGGTAGAAGGTCTAAACTTGCATTCATGATTAGAATACCTTATATGCATTCCATATCCATTCGTAGAGGATATCCAAAAAAAAAAAACATGTCACACATACATGTAGGTTTAGTTTAAGAAGTGAAGGAATAAAAAATATTTAATGATTTTATTGTATCCCCAGTCTAGCAAGAGGGTATTCAAAATTAGAGAGACATGTTCCATAACCAAACTTGTACATTTGAATGGATTTAATGCTCATGGACCTTCTGATCTTATTTTACAGTGAGAGCAGCTTGTTTGTATCCCGTACACGAGTAATCCTCAAGACATGTGGACAAACTGCTCTCTTGTACTGCATTAAACCTTTGCTAGAACTTGCAGCAACTGAGTGTGGATTGACTGAGGTGCAGGTATGTACAACTTAAATTAACAACAGAGAAAAATGTAATATAATTTGAGTCGGATAAAGAAAATTTTGGACTCCCAGACTGGAATAAAATCTTATTTCAGTTGCTGAGAGCACAGCATTTGTCTGCTTCTAGTTTAGATGGTACACAGTCCATTACTTTTTTATTATTGTAGCTTTGATAATGTTTTGCAGGATTTCTTCTATTCACGTATGAATTACCTAGCACCCAGCCTACAGCCAGCACCTCACCAAACTTTTGAGCAAGAGGTCTGTCTCGTGTTTTCTGTTTTTAATTCTTATCCATTCATTCATTCATCTATACATTTCTATGTAAACAAAATGATAAATCTTGGATTGAGTAAATTTTCTTGTAAATAATTTTAAAAGTAGCAAATTAGTATAGGCAGAGGGAAAGATATTATTAAAATATGAGCTTGGGTTTGCATGTGTATTCATATTACTATGTAGAATTTCAACATGTTAATTTAGTTCATTGTTGAAGTTGATGCCAAAATCCATCGAATCCACTTGTCGTATGAAATATTGGACCTATCATAGTTTTTTTTTTGTTTCTTTGTAGGTCCAGTGGCTAGATAAATTATTTTCAGGTATGTTCTGACACTTCTGTAGATTTCATGTGCCTCTTGTTTTAGCCGATCATAATTCACTTCATCTTAACGTGTAGGAAAAAAAATTAGACCAACAAAATAGACCAATTACAATACACAGTCAAACCCCCACTTTACGGACACTCACTTAATACAGACAGTTTTCCCTGTCCATGGAGAAAGCAGGCCATTTCATTTCCTCTAAATTTAACCCACTTAATACTGACTCTTTCTATGGCCCCCTTTGTTTCTCTATTAATGTAAAAAAAGGTAAAGGCACACACAAGCCAAAAGTATAAAGTAGTTTGACTTTATTACATGTAAAATTCAGACTTGGCACCAAAACTTGGGAGAATAAAACAAAGGAAGTCATCTTAGCAATGAATAATGCATTTCTTTTATTTCCCCAAGCCTCAGTGCCAAGTCTAAATTTCAAAATATCAAGTTGATCTATTTTCCTACATAATTATATATTTGTATGAAACAGTGAAGCAGTTAAGTTCTGCTATTTCATCTTTTTTTAAAACCTAGTTTGAATTTGTAAATCTATGCTTAAGCTCAAAGGCATTATGTTTCTGATAGGAAGTTAATTTTATCTTTAAAACTGTAACTATTTTTTCCTATTCTTAGATGGTGCAGGATATGCTCTTGGAAGATTAAATGGTCAAGATACATGGTAAACAATTATTTATGTACAACTCAAAACCTGCTCAAGACTCATTCTTGTTTACCAATATACATTGTTATAATGAGAAGAATATTAACTGTTTTTTAATACAACATCAATAGTTTTTCTCTTTTGGTTATTTTCCTTTATTGCTTGTGGCCTTTGGAGGAAGCTTTTAGCCATTCTACAAATGAAGGATGATGATGATGATGATGATGAGTTAATAATTTATTTTACCGGTATTTATGTTCTAGGTACTTGTACACACTTGATAACATCTTACCAGGAGTGTCTGAGCCTGACCAAACTTTGGAGATATCCTTTTAAGTTTTACTCAGGGTAGCACCTCAAGTCAAGTTTTACCTTTATCCTATACTTCTAACCTCGTCTTAGTTCTTGATAAATTGTTCTTGATTCGGGATCCTGGATTCGTGCAGGAATTGAGAATTGAGTCAAGAATGGAGACTCACAAAGGAATGTCAACTGACTTTCAAACGGTTAACTGTACGTGAAAGCATATACATGTACCTGCCAACTCTCCAAGATTATCCAGAAGTCTCGGGGACCAGCAGATACCCAATCAATCTCCTACTCTCTTGACAGGTCACCAAATCTCCCAGATAAAATCAACTTTTGAGCTTTCCTGTGCTTTAGTATGGAATTCAGCCCAAAATTGACCCATAGTATGGTTTCTGGGGTATTTTTGTGCAATATTTTATCAATGACAAATATTATTTGGTCATTACAATCAAGAGTGAATTTTGGTGGGCTCTAATAATCATGTAAGAGTTAATATATTGTCCTAAGCCACACCAACATTATGATTTGGGGAGTGGGTCAATTCGTGTTGATATGGAGGGGGGGAGGAGAGAGTCTCCAGATCTCGGCATCTCTGTGAAGGTTTGTTACTAATGTGCAAATTGACCCTGTTGATGGGTTTTTATGGAACTGAGGTAAACTGAGACTTGGCTTGAGATGCTCATATTCGTTCATGATGAAATTTAAAGTTTTTTCTTGAAAGCTTTGTTTTGTAAAATATTGGGAAAGGGATTACTTAAAGTACTTTCTCCTTAACTTGTATACATCTTGATGCTGGATCTTGATCGAGAGGTTATGAACAAGTTCTACAAGTCAAAATATTCTGATGCTGATGAAGTCACTAAGGTGGGCTTTTTTTGCCAGGGTAATGCTTACTTGAATAATTCACATTCGTCTTATTTACTTAATATAGTGCTAATATCTATGTACGTATTCAGTAGCGCAGTAAAGTGAAAAGGGAAAAACATGTATATAAAAGGGAAAAATGCACCCGTTTGATTCGTGGTTAGAATTTTATGAATACTTTTTTTATTTTATTACCTTGTCACCTAGGAGACAGGCATCAGTGAGTTTCTTCCTGGGGCAGTGATCGATGCTGCTTTGTTTGAACCCTGTGGGTATTCAGCCAATGGGCTTCTGGATGTAAGTAAAAAATAATTAATATATGATATAAAGGTCTTACAGTTTTGTTTTTAAGGGAAACTACCTGAATAATTTATAATAATTATTCTATGGAGAGTTTTCTCAATGAATATCAGCTTTAATACATATTTTAACTACCATACAGTAACTGTTAATCTATGTGGCAAATCCAGGTGGGGGTTTGTGTGTTTAATTTCCATTCCATTAGCACAAACAAAAGCCTTGGATGAGTTCCGGCCAGTGGAAGACAGTTTCATTAAACTATTAAATTATTAATTTTATTCTGCAAATATCAGCAATTTAGTAAAGTTAATAAACATTTAAATGGTTGGTTTTACTTTGAAGGTGTCTGTAAATAAATAGCAATAATCTGAAACAAGGCAATATTACACTTGTTTAACATTTATTGCTGGTATGACAGATGTTGGCATTGGGGAACAACAATGTCATTACTCCAGAGTGGTTTCCTACCATGGAACACCTCCGGGTGAGCTGCCCGTTTTTTAATACTCTGACTAGTAACCTTAATGTTACTAATTTCTGCAGGACTTAATTTTGCAAATGTTTATCACACTATGAAAGCTAGAGATGTGAAAAACGTTTTCATGAAACAACAACAGTAACAGCAATTTTAATACCTTGCTGCTGTCCCTCCTGCAAATCCTTCTAAATCTGAACGGATGTCATTTTGTTCTTATCACAGAGCATATTATGCTGTATAATTCTGCTGACTCTTGTAGTGTAAGGTTGTTTTGCAAACAAATATTACTACAATATGCCCCATACCAGTCTGTGAGCTAATCAGAGAGGTGTGATGGATTTGGGAGGAAATGAGCATGCTGTTAGCCTCAGATTTGCTGTTCAGATGACTATTTCTACCTACCGATGTAAAGTAAAGACTCTTTACCTTTACCTTTTGTTGGGTACAGATGTCAACGAAAGGTGCCAAAAATCTAAGTAGAGTAGTCAATCTGTTTGCCACAGACATCCGCTCCAGGAATTTATTGTGATGTGATGATGTGCTACATAAGCCTGTAAGTCAACTCCCTTATGTGAATCTTTTCTCTCTCACACATAGGAAAGCTACTTCAACATCCATATTACTCCACAGCCTGAGTGCTCTTATGTCAGCTTTGAAACCAATATTAAAATGGTAAGTTGAAAAAACCAAGAATATAGAAGAGATGAAAGTACAGCTCAAATAACGGAGGGGGAGACAGTTGTCTTATCTGAGATTTTCTTTTATCTTAATCCTCATGTTATCCTGCATTTGAGTGGTTACTCTTGTACTTATTTACTTACCATTTTGTTCCTGAGTTTTGTATAATATAGTCTTACATACCCTTGTGTCTATTTAGCAGAATTAAGGAAATCTTTCTTTGAAGCAGTTCTATTGTGAGGCAGGATTTATAAGCTACCTTATGATCTTTGATCATTTGTTGCCACGTGGCGAAATTCTCAAGTGACATCTACGTTAATGTTTTAAGTCCCAATAGTCATGACCAACATCAATTTTCTCCTCAAAATATCCATACATTGTCAAGAGATAAGGTTGTGGAAATTAAGAAAATGATCACTAAAGAGAAAATGCCTTGATCTTTTATTAAATTCTCTCAACTAATTCTTAAAGGAAATGTATGGAGATCGGTTTGGAGAATTTGTATGTGGATATTGGGGCTTAAGGGGTCAATGCTTATGCTGTCGAAAGCTTCAATGATAATATTTGTCAGGGTTCGTACAGGTCATGGAAAACCTGGAAAGTCATGGAATATAAGAATTTTATTTTTCAGGCCTGGAAAGTCTTGGAATTTACTTATCGGTCCTTGAGAGTCATGGAAAATTAAAGTTTTGTTTGGTAGATTAGTTACTGCAGGTGACAAAGCAAGGACAATTGAAGATAGAAAGGAGTAATTATAGAGCCCAAACGGCACGCTTTTTGATGGACACCTGAGTTTGTGTCTGTTGAACCGTTTAAGGTCAAAAAATACCCCCAAACGAGAAAAACTGTGAACATCTTTGAAAGTGACAGCTTAACCTAAGGTCTTGGAAAACTTGAAAAGGTATCTCCAAGTGACCATGTAATGTTCTCTTTATTACATAAACACCAATGAAATACCAAACCATTTCACTTTAATAGTTTTGGTGTGAAAAGCGAGATTTATTATGTAGCCATAGCAATGGTGATATTTTCACATGTAAAGATATTACGTTTTCGCGCAAAAGCTCACCTGGTATTTCATTGGTGTTTATGTAATAAAAAGCAATCTTTTGCTAGACTTGAACGATACTTCTTGTTTTCTCTTAGAGTTCCTATAAAGAACTGATCAGCAGGGTTCTTGAAGCTTTCAAACCTGGAAGATTCCTTATGACTTTGTTTGCCAATGAGGTTAGCGTCAATCACTTCTAAGTATTAAGGCTCAGTCAATTCCACGTGTGTCCGTCCATCCCGTCCCCGCCCGGGCATTTGTTAGGCATTTGATATTTTGTCATCAGAAAGGTGCTGAAGCCTTCGTTGAGACCAGTCAGTATACAGCTATTTCGAGAAAAGTTGTTGGAAAAAATGTACACGCGATAATCCCGAAAGGTTATGGAAAGGGATATGATCAATTCACTGTTGCTTACACGGTAGCTGTCGAACCTACTTTTGTTGCTTTCCTTTAGCACTCGCAAACATACATCCAAGGCCTTTCGTGCAATTCTCTCAAATTTCTCTGAAGAACAATGAACTCAAAACTGCCCATAATACCTTTCGTGATTGTGGTGTGCATTTTTTCCGACAACCTTTCTCGAAATAGCTGTATACAGAAAACCCACGTTAGGGGTTAGAGTACTCCAATAACACCATGGCTTTACTGAGAATTGATCAGTAACATCGTGTCTTAATTGAGCAGTAAGGTCAATGAGAGTTCCGACTTGCTTATGACATGACTCCCGGGTTCAGCCCATTCATAATGCTGTTCCTTGGTACAGTTCATATAAATAGATATTATTGAGTTATACAGTCATCCAAATGTATCTTACAGATGAATGAACGTCTTATACTTCTAGGAGATAAGACGAAAACGCCACTAAAAACCGTACCTTTGATGGCACAGTACCTTAAAGAAAGTGTACTGAATAAACATACAGCGTGTATAAAACTATGTAACATAAGAACTACAACATTATAAGAAAAGGATGCAAACACGAAGGTTGCCCTTTCGAACAACACAAATCCCTTGCTGAAAGCCTAGATAGTCGATAGTCATTTCATAACAGTCCGCGCTTGTCTCCATTATGTTCGTCAAAATGTTAAGTTCTCCGTTATTCGTTCCCGTGTCACTAAGTCAGAAATTATATTGTGAATGTCTGTTATTTTGTGTTTCTGCAGGGGGCGCCATGTGGATTTTCATACAAAACCTTTCAAGAGGGTTCTATTGCAGGCTACAAACGCAATGACCTCCAGTTGTCGCAGATGAAAATGTATAACCTGACGTATGGTCATTATGAAAAAATCTAGGACATTAAGAGATATATACTAGGTCACGACAAGAGATATATACTAGGTAATGACATGGTCTTTCAGAATAGACCACAGCGTGGTGTGGAAATGTATTATGACAGTTCAGTTCAGTTCAAATAGCGTAATATAGCCGGATTAAGGCCGATTTATATGCAAACATTTTGTTGCATGCGATCGATGGGCTTTCTTGCCCCCCCCCCCTCCCCCCGAGGGGGGCTCCCGTTTGAAAGTGAGGGGGGTGATTGTCGTCTTGCTCAATATTTTTACCCATAAAAACATCGCTTAGGATTGTAGGTACAGAAGAACCTAATAAGAAACAAACGCCGCCATACCATGCTTAAGTTTGGTCTCCTGTAGGCGTGGTTGGCCACGCCCAGACAGATTGGTCTGCTTTAGGGGTCAAATTCTAATTTTTCGACGAGCGTCACTCTCTCTTTCATGTCTGAGTCTTCCCGGGCTTCCTCTTTTTAAACTTTGCCTATAGCGATGTCGGACGTGAATATTCGGTCCCCATTCGCTTCCGTACGGTCTCCAAGGATGGGGTCCAATTTATGCGATATATTTATAGTTGACGTTTTTCCGGGTAAATCGTAAGTCCTACACAGTTTGTCTTCCGAAGGCAACTGTTCAAGCTTGAAGGGGCTATGTTTAATCTTAAGTTTGGGTAGCTGCTTCTAGCTTAGCCAGGTTCGTGTTGAGGGCGATAATTTACGAAAAAGGCCAGCTTGACAGTAAGAAGATAACTGAATGAACCTATTTTCTGGGCATGTTTGCAACGAAACTGATTAAGAGTTATTTTCCTGATACTAGAATTATTTTTAACGTATATAACCGCTCTATTTTTAACGAGTACGACTCTATTTTTTTCCTAATAATATTATTGTCGCTCTCAATTATAGAGCATTATAAAATCCAGGTAATTCTGTAAGAAGACTTAAGAACCTTGGCTTATATTTGTAAAGATATATACTATTTTCGGTGGAAACAGTTTTGCCAGTCAGTTATTTATGTAACTCTTTAAATTATTATGCTGAAATGCCAAGTAATAGTTGTTTGATGGGTTTTCCCTGGATACACCTGTTGTAGGCCAAGTGTGTGCTATTAAGTGTAACTTGTCGATGGATATTAAATTTGAAGGAAGCCTGTTTCATGCATGTTTTTTTATTCCCTAGGAATATTTTTTTGTTTGTGTATCAGAGTTTTTAGCGACCTTACGAAACTAGGGAGCTTAAGCAACAACGACAGCGACGGTTACAAAAACTTACTTAAAAAGTGAATTCGCGCTGCTTCAAACTTAATCGGGCTTATTCCATCTCGTTCAGTTCGTCAAATGTTGGCAGTTTTTTCTGGAGTTGAATTTTAAAAGACTGTATCGAAGTTCAGCAAAAGAAAAATAACGTCGTTGTCTTGTGTTCACCTTGTCCACAAAACGTGAAGTTAGGCATTTTCACGTCGTTGTCGTGCAGTGACGGCAAAGGAATGTACAAAAAAGCATGATGCACGTGCAGAGTTGTTGTTTTGCCAATCTAAAACTTTTGTGTTTTTGCCGTTCTCGTTGCCGTCGACGTCGTCGTTGCTTAAGCTCCCCACTACGACGACGACGGCAACAGCAACGCCATAAAAGCAACAGGTTCAATCACGCTTTTTTTGTACATTTCTTTGCCGTCCCTGCATAACTACGACGTGAAATGACCAAATTTTAAGTTTACTTGAGGATAATTCTCGAGGACGAGAACGGCAAGACGATAAATTCTACCATATCTGTCTTAACTCGGGCGCGGTCCTCTCTCTTCAGCTCCAGCATAAATTCCCTTCTTTCGTCTATTTTTCAGCGACGTTTTCGAGGAAGTCAACGTTGTCTCATCGTAAGATCCGTATTATTCACTCGTGACGGTTCCTGCAATTCTTGAGGAAGTACAAAATGGATTGAGATGTGTCCTCCCTCATTACCTCAAGCTGAACGGTTTATGAGGTTAGAATGTAGAAAACAAGCGCTTTCCGGCAACCCGGTTCTCTCCGATTGAAGCCTCATCTGAAACAATCCCCCAACCTCTGACAACCTTAGAAAAGTTGTTTTCGTTGAATACCATGTGGCCACAATTTCGTCTTTTTTTCTAGGGAGGCATTGCGCCATGTCTAACTGTTTGCATGTGCCTTTCGTTAGTTCGAGGCTGTGTTTCCCACATCTATAATGTGGTGTTTGCAGTACCTTGCTGTGCGTGCCGTACAAACTGTTTTGCAGTAAAATTTTCAAAACTTTTATGCTCACTTTAAGAGACCTATTCGGCTAACTCAATGTCGTACCCAATTCAAATCTTCCGGGGTTAAGATTCTTTGTGTATTGTATTTGCATTATAACGTGGCATTCACATTTAAATAATATGGAAATTCAAGAAACAATACGTTTTATTCCCAAAGGGTTAGAATTGGGTACATCATTGAGTTAGCCAAATAGGCCTATTGGATTAGAAGACCACAAATATATCTCTGTCAGTGTACACCCCTAGCGTGCAGTCCTTGCTCCTGGATGGGTAATCTTTAAAGGGGGATCTTAACATGGGGATGGTTTCTTGATACTCCATCAGTGAACGTGAGAGTATGTTAAATAATGTTGGATGCTATCACAAGCAACCATTCCTTGTTTGCATGGTATTTGTATGAGGAAAACTATGTCTTCGCACGTTCTTTTTAAGGCTTATTTTAACAAACAATTAGGCTGAAATTATATTCTTTTTGATTTTACTCTCAGACGTTCTTGTCGCGGTCGCGTCGTTGGATCTTGAGTCTCTAATAGAAATGTGGTGGTGGTGGAAGAGAAAAACCAAAAGAAATGTGGTGGTGGGGGGGGGGGGGGGGGATAAAAAGTAGTAGTGGGGTGGTGGGGTGGGGGGGGTTGTGGGAGTTTAAGACGTTGGTTGTGGTGGTGGTGGTGGTGGAAGAGAGAAAACAAAAGAAATGTGGTGGTGGTGAAAGAGAGAAAACAAAGGAAATGTGGTGGTGGTGGTGGAAGAAGGAAAACAATAGAAATGTGGTGGTGGTAGTGGCGGAGGAGGAAAAACAACAGAAATGTTGTGGTGGAAGAGAGAAAACAAAAGAAATGTGGTTGTGGTGTGGTGGCAAGGGAGAGAAAAATAATGGAAATGCCGTAGTCTGTAAACCCTTTTAGATGAGAAACATTTCTTTTTTCTCTCTAAGGAGTTTACAGGAGTTGGTTTGTCCCAAGAGCGAAAAAAACCTTCGGCAGAAACAAAATGCAAGGCACTTGATTTGGGGAGACTCTTTCCAAACTTTCTCGGTCAATGCATTTTGGTACTCGCTCGGACCATGTGACCCAAAACGCAAAGGCAGCAGGAAATAACGAGGCCTTGGTATTAGGCAAGAGTGATCCCAGCTACTAAGAATTTGATAACCACTGAATCACGGCTATTCAGCACCAAGATCATTTCATGGCTTGAAAGAGAATTTCCTTTAATAGTCCGGTTTTTATTTACACTTTTGATAAAATGTATGTAAAAATTTACAATGACAATGTCTTGAGTCGTTTTATTAAATCTTCTAATAAATAAGATTACTGTACTTTCCTTTTCTCAAAGCTAATTGAGATCTCAAACGTAATATCCATAGAAACAAGACTCACTAGCGCACACTGTTTCCTCAAGAGAGGTTAGTGACAAACGTGCCTTGAACACCTTAAAGGACTATTTTTTGACTCGTTGTCCAGCAGGAGTCACACTAGGTTCTCATATGGATACTTAATAAATGACGCACAGATGAAAATTTCGGAAAACTTAAAACTGTTTTCTTTGTCATAAATCAAATGGTTAAAGTTAGAGCAACAAAGCTAACAACCGAACGCTAAGTAGATTCTGACGACAAAACTCGTAACAACTCATTTACAGAATGGATCTAACAGACTTGCCCTCAAGGAAACTGACAGGTACTTAACCAACCCATAAGCCATAGTTTATTAGTGGGTTAAACAAGCAATGGCTGTTTGCCATAGCTTATTTTGAGAAATGCTGTAAGACACTTCTCACCAAGTAGGCTCAGCCTTGCCAGGAGGCAATGACAAGAAAAAAAAACACATATTCAAGTCTTTCTTGGATTCCACATTACGGGCAAGCGGGTTGCACTAGAAGATAATTTTTTTTTCGCTTGGTAAAGGTCTCTTAACCCAACAAACCAAGCAACTAAACCATATTTTAGCCAACATAAGTACTAATGTGTTCACACGTTCTGCGTATCTAATTTTTTGGGAAGTTGATGCATGTCATATGGTTTGGCATGGCATTGGAGTTGTGAGGCTTATAAACGGTAAAAACCCATTCACTGATTCAGTATCAACCTAAAGTATTATCATCAAGGATAACTTTTAAAGCGGGCTGTACCGGATAACAACGTACTGGAGGAAACCTGATAATTTGGTCACACTACTGTTCTTCGGAGAAATTACTTTTTAAATAGAGGGTGTCCCCTCATTATTGTGATTCTTCTTTGTACGAGGCACTAATAAATTGCAATTACTAAAATCACTTGCTCTGCTATAATAAATATTGCTCTACTACAAATTTATTTTATGTTACTAAATCATTGTCCTCACTGTTGGGTTTAATTCTAGTCCATGACATTCCTCTTAAAGGTGGAAGAGAATTTGATTCCTAGAAGGAAAAAAGAAATAACATTTCATGATTATGCAGTTACAACATTGAAAAACATTATTTACACTATTAAACTCATGAAAGCAAAGGTATTGATGAAGACCTATGCATTTCCAGGCATCTCAGACAAATTCAACTTGAATTTCGTTGCAATTTTCTCTGAGGATGGATTACGTACTAGGCATGTGTAAGGACTAGCCTGCAAACGCAGATGTATTTCCACTCATCGCTCCTTTCCACCGAAAAGGTGGGTGGAAAGAAGCGACGGCCAGAAATATGTCTGCGTTTGCAGGCTAAGGTAAGGACTGGAAAATTGACTTTTTACAAAATTTTGGCCAACTTATCAGCTTACATCGAAATACTCAGAGGTGATTGCTGACCAGCAAATTAAAACTTGTGAAAAAAAAAATTTTAAAAATTCTTTCAGTTCTAATTTGTTAATCTAACAAAAATTATTCACACCTCGTCACCCTCTGGTATTGACGGTGAGGTGAAACCTCTGCTACCTGAAAGACGAAGAAAAACCATATGATTGGTTGCGTATTTTTGACAATAAAAACACTGGAGGATATACCCTTTTTTAAAATACCACAACATAATCAGATATATAATAAAAAAAAAACTATAAAAATTTATCAAGCACATTTTCTTATTATGGAGGAGGAGGCCATCTCAGACTTTTAAATTAAAATTTCTTGAGTAAAAATAAGGACATATTTAACCTGTTTTACAACAGGTATGCAAACCTCAGGAAATACAAAGAGTATGATCATAACGCCTTATGACCAAAAACTGGGTCTTTGTTTCACACTGTTACCATTTGCAAAAGCTGATAGAGTGGTGGTTTCAACTATTAGTGCAAAACTGGTGCGAATCACCCTAAAACTGTTGCAATAGTAATGATAATTACTACTAAATACCACACAAGCGAATAGTGCTTTTAATGCACACTGATTGGCTAGCTTTAAGGTGAGAAGCATCCGAGTTACCATGTTACTTTGTGCATGTTAATATGCATGGCGTGGTGCGAAAGATTGTAAAAATTCCAAGCATTTGCCAAAATAAAGTAGTTTTTAGGATCCCTAGTTATTCAACGCGTGTGGTATATAAGAAAAAAAAAATTATTCACTTCAGTGACAGTGAAGGTGGTGGATATTTACCCCGCAAATCCAGCGCTCCCTAAGTATCCACCATAATTCACCTCCATGTCGGTGAGCTATGCAATTCTATGGAAGCACCAAAGAAACACAAACACAGTATACCTGGTAATCTTGGTGGTCCTA